CATTCTCAGGGGAAAAATTACAAACATTTGGAAAAGCAGAAGTTATGATAACCAAATTAATAGTGGTCTGAATTTCATGTGTTTGGGGGAGACTTTGATGCTGCCAAGTGGGTAGTCGACTTTAGACACAAGAAAACCATTTTTCCTACATGATGCTAAAGTGTGTGAGCAAGAAGAGGTTAATTATTGGCACCAGGACCAAAGCCACTATTCCCTGAGACTTGAATCTATTTTTCTTTTTGGAAATCAAAGAAAAACTACCTTCAAAGACCTTGTTTCTTCTATTCTCAGGAAGAAAAATAAATGTAAAGGAGTTATCCTTGTGGAAAATTTGGGCTTGGCAGATAAAGAGGACAGGTTCCTCCTTGTGATAAGACATGTATCTAAGAAATATGGAAAAAAGAGGTGAGGCAGAGATGGGGTTTAGCTAAAATGAGTGAAGTTATGGAGTTCTGATACAGCAACCCCTCATTTCTAATGCTTCTATTGGCCCTAATTCTGTGATCTCTCACCACTCAAATTTCCTATCATTGACAACTTTCATCTGTGATGAGCAATTTGAAACAATATCATACTCAAATTTCCCAGCACTGTGATTATTTTAAAATGATGATTGATCTCCAGATAACACCATGGCTACAATTCTGTCTTCACACAAGACAGATCTGATCTTGCAACATTCCTTCTTATGATGTTAGTAACATTTTAGGGAGAAGAGAGGAAACATGAGTCAAGGATAGAATTGCTAGATTTACAAAATAAAATTCTATAGTTAAATTTTGGATAAATAACAATTTTTTTAGTATAAGTATGACCCCAAAAATATTTAAGATACCCTTCTACTAAAAAATGATGTGCTATTTATCTGAAATTCAAATTTAAGTACTCATGTCATATTTTTTTTGGCATCCCTCAAAGGAATGATAAGCCCTCCTACTCTACAAAGTTTTACCCACCTTCTTCCTCACACCCCCAGCACTCTTTGATTTGATGTGAATAAATAGATGGTCAGAATATGGGCACAAAATGTAGAGATGAGACCCAGACCAACGATCCTTGAGGACTCATGTGAGGATGTTATAAAGATGCTTCAAGCATCTGGAGATGGGATATATTTAAAACAAAGAGAAGAGGCCTACTTATGTTTTAAATACATTTATGAGAAGAACTCATCATGCTTCTATTTATTCCAGAGACAAACAAAGGTGAAATCTACTACTTGCCAGACATCGTTCCAGGCTCTGGGGATTCAAAGATGAGCAGTTAATAACAGTCCTCAAGAAGTGTATGTTCTTTTACTGCAGGTACAATCAAATGAGCACTTCAAATAATTGTTTCTCTGGCCTCCCTCTACTCACTTCATACACCTCCTACACATTAGCTATAGATGATCTCATCAATTTTTAAGTATTAAATAAGCAACAAGAATCAGCATCTAAGAAATTCTAAAGTGTAACATGCTGTTTCCTGACCATTCACATGCAATTGTCCAGAATGTTACTATTATCCCCTCAGTCACTGTCTTAGAAATTACAGCACCTTACCCTGCATTCCTAAATTGTATTAAGCAATTCAGTCCATATCCTCAACCTATTTCAGCCATCTTCTTTTTCCCATTATATTCACTATTTGCTTTATTTTTCTGAAGAGAAATATAGCGATATCTTTGGTTTCCCGTTCTCCACCCTAACATGTTTTATACCAAAGACTTGGCCACAAGTTGGCTCTACATCTTCAGAAAAAGCCTTAATGTCTGTAACTGGCTTTTTTGTTTTTATTGTATATGACAAAAACTCAATGAAAACTAACTTACATTTAAAACAAGGAAGAAGAAATTCAAGGGGCAGGTAGAACTTTAGTCATAGCCACGTTTTTAAGTGAAAAACTTGTCATCAGAATCTGTTCTTTCTTCTCAAAATTTTATTTTCTACCTGCTATGTTGACTTTCTTTTCAGACTGTATGTGGCATCAACTTGAATGTCTTGATCTAAATGAAAATCTCTGATATATTACCTGACAGAAAGGATAATTTGTCTTTCTAGTCATGACAGTAAAATTCTAAGGCATAGAAATCATTGACTTGAATTGGGTCAATGATTACAATAATCACTGTGTCATTGGTAAACATATAGGAATCAGATTTGCTGATTTACCTAGAATTGAGAAACATATACATACTGAATGCTACTGATTTTAGCAACCTTAATCAACTACATGGACTGAAGGTGGAGATGGTTCCACAAAGGGAAATCCAAGAGGTTGTTACCAAAAGAAAGATTTTGAATTGAGGTTGGACAGACAAACAAAAGTCCCATGCAGTCCATTCTTAGTTGACCGCCGCTTCCTCACACTTTCCACCAAATTATTTCCAAAATGTGGCTAAGTATATTACAATGGTTACAATAATATTAAAAATGGATGACTTACATCATATACAAATTATTACTTAAAATCAATTAAAGGTCTAAACTTAAGATCTAACACTATAAAAGTGTTAGAAGAGAACATAGAAAAAACTCTTCATGAAATTTGATTGGGTAGTAATTTCTGGGATGTGACATAAAAAACACAGGCAATAAAAGAAAAATAAATGGACCTCACCAAAATTAAAAACTTTTGTACATCAATGGACACTCTGAAGAAAGTGAAGAGACAATGCACAGAAAGGGAGAAAATATTTTCAAATCATATGTCTAATAAGATATTAATATACAGAATATGCAAAGAACTCCTACAACTCAGCAACAACAAAAAAAGACTCAATTCAAAACATGGAGAAAATATTTGAATAGATATTTCTCCAAAAATATACAAACTGCCAATAAACACATGAAAAGATGCTCAGCATTATTGGTCACTAGGGAAACACAAATCAAAACCACAATGAGATAACACTGCACACACTTTAGAATGGCAAAAAAATCCTAAAAATTAATAAGTATTGGGGCTGGCCTGGTGGCGTAGCAGTTAATTCCATGGGCTCTGCTTCCGGGGCCCAAGGGTTTGCAGATTTGAATCCTGGGTGTGGACCTATACACTGCTTATCAAGCCATGCAGTGGCAGGCATCCCACATAGAAAATAGAGGAAGTTGGCACAAATGTTAGTTCAGGGCCAATCTTCCTCAGCAAAAAAGATGAGTATTGACAGTGGATGTTAGCTCAGGGCTAATCTTCCTCAAAAAAATAATAATAATAAGTATTGGTGAGGATATGCAGAAACTGGAAGCCTTGTACATTGCTGATATGAATGTAAAATGATGCAGCCACTATGGGAAACAGTTTTACACTTCCTCAAAAAGCTAAACACTTACTATTATGATCCATCAATTCCACTCTAAGGTATATACACAAAGGAATTGAAAGCAGAGACTCAAACAGATACTTTTATGCAAATGTTCATTGCAGCATTATTCACAATAGCCAACAGGTGGAAACAATGTCCATCAACAGATGAATAGATAAACAAAAGGTAGTGCATACACACAATGAATATTGTTCAGTCATTAAAAGGAATGGAGTTCTGATACGTACTACACCATGGATGAAGCTTAAAAATATTGTACTAAATGAAAAAGTACAGACACGAAAGGAGCAATATTGTGTGATTCCACTTATTCCACCTAGAATAGGGAAGTTCACGGAAGCAGAAAGGAGATTAGTGATTATTAGGAACTGGGGTAAGGGGGAATGGGGATGGGAAGTTATTACTTAATGGCTACAGAGTTTCTGCTTGGGTTGACGAAAAATTTTTAGAAATAAGTAGTGGTGATTTCTGCAAAACACTGTAAATGTAATTAATGCCCCTGAAGTATACACTTTAAAATGGCTAAAATGACAAATTTTATCTTATATGTTTTATAACAATTGTTTTAAAAATTTAACAATGAATATACCAAATATCATTGAATTTTACACGTTAAATGAATGAATGCTATGATGTGTGAATTATACCTCAACAAAGCTACTAAAAGAAATGGACGCGAGCCCTTTTACAGGGTGGAAGATCAAAACTCTCAACTACCATTCAAATCTACACTCAAGACCAGCATTTCTGTCATTTTCATCCTTATTGTCTAAAAGTAGCCTCTCATGGTCTAGCAGCCAATGTATATATGACAAAATGACCCACTCCAAACATTGCCAACAAAACAGTCCAGATAACAGAGAAACTGTCGTCTGAACTCACACTTGGCAAAGTCGTGGAGGGTAAACACCACAAGCCCATCACACATTATAACAATTTGAAGAAGAGCCAAAACTCAAAAAGTTTCTTAATTGGCCTAAGAGGAAAATCGTAGAGAATGTCCATTATGTAACTATTTCTTTCCAATACATACAGCCTCGCAGATTGCATATTAAAGTCTGTATATTGCCTCAGAAATGGAACAAGCACAGACATCATTTCCCACGATTGTGATTTATTTTTCCCAACTACTTCCTTAAAATTTTGTATGATTTTGCCTTTTTTATGGCCAATTATAGGAGCTCATAACAAAACTAGAGATCTCTTCCAGTTCTACAGATTTGTATCCAAGAGTTTAGCTTATTTGTTAGCATGAGGACATTATCCTAGAGTTAATTCAACACAGTTTATTGGGCCCCTTCCCCAATCTGCATTCCAATGAATAGGGATTAATAGTGATATTCTTGTGCCCTATCTCAGGTAGGAAGTTTACCATTTGACCTTTGGATGACTGCTTTCTCAGTCTCTGGCTCTTCATTAGTCCCAGTCATAACTCACGCTTTACTTTCATCCTCTCTGACTTTGCTGGCACTAACTTTAGCTGAGAATAGAGAAGCTGGACTTTGTTACAAAGCAAATGAGCCTTTCTTAGCAACTTTACCTGAAACTCCTCAGTCCTATGGGTCATTACTAAAGGCTAAACAAAATAGCCACATGCAAAGTCAACAGTCCCACTGTACAATAAGTGATTGTGTGAGAGCTGCCTCGCTTCAGTCTTCCATTTGCAGCCCAACGAATACAGGGAATCATTCACAAATTACTCAGCATTGTATTTATTTCAAATGACCAAATACAAAATCAAGCAGGCTTGATTAGAAAAAGATGATAGCAGATCGTGGCAAATCAAATAAATGAAATACCCAGTAATCTATCCGGCTCCAGCAATAACTGATCAGATGAACTGAATGATCACAGTGGTATGTTATTTCTGAGCTTATAGTTTTCCTGAGTCAGTGTCATTCCCAGTTATTACTTGGTTTTCCCTGGACAACTGAGTATTACTTCTGTCTATCTAGTTCTGAAAGGGAAAAATGTCACATTCATAAACATGAAATAAAGAATGTTGAAGAGAATAAAATAAGAATAATTTATTAGATCAGATAAGAAACAGCTGAAAAACAGAAGAAAAAAATGGAGGAAGTAAAAGAAATTAAAATGCCCAGCCTGGAAAATAAATAAAACTGGATTTATTTACAGATGACATGATCTAGTGTGTAGAAAATCTCAAGGAATACATGCACACACACACACACACACACACACATAAATTACTAAAACTAACAAAAGTGTTTAGGAATATGGTGAAATACAAGATCAATATAAAAATCTAGTGTATTTTTGATTAGTAGTAATGAAAAAATCCAACAAGAAATTGACGTTTACTTATAAAAGAAACAACTCAAAAATTGAAGAAAATAAATAAAAGACTTCTGTGCTGGAAACAAAATACTGCTGATAAAGTTTAAAGAGAAACTAAATAATGGAGAGATTTTGTATTGTAAAGATGACAATATTCCTCAAATTGTTCTTTAAATTCCACACAATGCCTATCAAAATCCAATAGGCTTTTAAACAAAAATTAACAAAATATCTCAAAATGTCCATGGAAAACTCAAAGAACCCAGGGCAGAATTTCTCAACTTTGGCACTACTGGTATTCTGGCGCAGATAACTCTTTGTCATGGAGTTGGCCAAGTGCATTGTAAGAGAATTAGCAGCATCTCTGGCTTCTACCCACTAGATGTCAGTAACATTCTCCAAATGTTCTCTGGGGTAGGCGTGGTTAAAACTGTCCCTACAGAGAACAACTGACTTAGAATAGAATTGTTTTGAAATAGAATTGTATATAACTCCTTCAAATTATTTTCAAACAATTTTGAAAAATAAGAACCAAGTTGTAAGACTTATGCTAACCAATCTCAAAATTTTTTATGAAGCCACAGTAATCAAAAGTTTAAAATATTAGTGAAAGAATAGACATATAGATCCATGTAGCAGATTGATAATCCAGATATAAATACTTACATTTAGAGTAAACTGATTTTTGACAGAGGTGCCAAAATAATTTGGTGGAGGAAGGCAGAGTCTATTCAAGAAATGTTGAACTAAATTTGTTCATGGTTTAACAACTCAATATATTTACTAAAAATCCTTGAATTGAACACTTAACATAGCTGAACTTCATGATATGTAAATTATTCCTCAAGAAATATGAAGAGTTTTCTTTTTTTTAAGGCAGAGGTAAAGACTCAGCAGATGAAAATTGATTACCAAGTATTGCAGCAAAAGTTAAAGAAAGAAATTCTTGTTCAGCTGGCAAAGGAGAATGGCAAAAAGTCAAGCAGAGAAAACTTGAACTTTCCTGAATCTCTCAACGTAATTCACAGCTTAAGATCACAGTCACAATGGTAATGCCACAGAAAAAATTTTAACATTCATATAGGTACAATTCCTTCAAAAAGTCTCTATACGTTTGCCCCCACATTCTTGCCCCAACAAACACACACACACACACACACAAAGCACTCACACTTATTCATACATGTACATCCCTCACTCAGGTATTACACAGTCTAGGCTTACATTTTTCCCTCCTCAACAACAACAAAAATCAAACATAAGCAAAAATTCATGTTGTTTGCTTATTTATAACTAAGCTTAGTGAGGAGAGTCCTCACAAATGCTAATAGGAGCCTATGAACAATCATTTCTCCAAATAATTGCACAGCCTTTGATAAGTTAATGATAGAATTTTTCCTTACCATTTGTACATTGAATTACTCCTATGACTCTTGAAACAAATGACACAGAAGAGGCAATGGAGGGCCAAAGGAACTTTTTAACGTCACTAGGAGGAGGAAAGTTCATGGACCCAGAAGGGAAAAAAAGCTAGTCTCTGTGTTTTCCCTGGAATGTCACAGGTAGGACCTCCATCCTGAGTCTTACCTGTGCTGTGTCTATTGATGATCTCTACATCTGAGGCTCCAGATATGACATGAAGTCTCTCATGTACTGACTCTGCTGGACCGACTGGTCTTTAGCTGCTACCAAATTATCCAGCAGAGTCACCTCATCTTCCTCCGTGTTTTGCAGCTCCCTCTGCTCCAGACTGTCCAGGATGCCTCTCATTACATTAAACCCTTTCAGAATCCTCTCTCAGTCTGCATATGATGCTTTGGGGATGAAAAGAGAAAGAGGCCTTCAGTCTTTCTGGCTGACAGCCTACTTCGTATGCGCCTGGGAGCCAAGACAAGAACTATTTTCCTCAGGGAGTTTTCAAAGGGATAGGAGGTGAAATTGGTGAGCATTTCCTAGGAAACACATTTTTCCTCCTGTCTCCCCTTGAGCTCCTCCCAAAGCGATATATTCAAGTCTACTTCATCAAGGCCCATCCTGAGACACAAACTGATACCTGGAGGAGGCTTGGATGGCAGAGACCTGTCCTGGATAATCATGCTACACTGTGCATTAAACCCTTCCACCCACACTTCCTAAACAAGGAAAGCTGGGCCTTTCTCAAGGTGTGTTCTGGGAGTATCCAAGCCTCAAAGTTGATGATGGAAATAGGACATGGGATTCACGAGTCATTTTTATATTGCTTCCCTCTATGCCTTTGCTTCCAAATATTTGGATTCACTTGTGATATATCTACTATCTAGCCCTGAACCCTCAACAAATAAGGAATGAAATGAAGACTAATCAAATGTCTTTCTGACTCATTAATTCTGAGGTAACAAAGAAAATGGGACTCCGCGTGATTGGACCAAGGTGCTGCCCAGTTTCCTGTCTCCAGACTCCCTCAGGAAAAACCTCTTCCTGCCTTCCAGGTAGCTCTCTTTTCTGATGTCAGCTTCCCATTCCTCAGCTTCCTGCTGTTCCTTCCTCAGCTTCTTCAGAGCTTCCTGGAGCTTCTGTTGTGAGAAAGGAATCATCAGAGTCAAGTTATGAGCTTTCTCAGCACCTGGACAAATGGAGAAGGAATCAAGCCCAGCTCAGAAGAGACTAAAGTTTACAGAAATGAGCCCAGCATTTAGAATCTAAGACGTAGACAAAAATCTGAGGGGGTGAATGTATTCCTTAACCCAGGGAGATGCAAGTTATGAACCTTCATCAGGAATAGCCTGTGTCTCTCTTCCCTAGAAGAACTGATCATGGAGCCAGGAAAGTCCTTTCTCCTCATTGATGCTTTTCCCACATCCAACCACCCATGTTCCCAAAGAAACCTTCTGGTCAGGGGGAAAATCAGAACTTACTTTGGGAAGCAATTCTCCACTCATCCAAATTCTCTGTGCTGAGTTTCTAGTTTAGGCTTATTTTTGAAGCAAATGGATGAATGCACAGAAATGTCCTTCATGCCTCAGAGCCGAGCAAGGGGTATGGAAAGATTGCAGGGCTCAGTCGGATAAAAAAAGTGACGGTTTCACTTTAGATAACATTCTGCCCTATCTTTCTCCACCCTGGAGTCCATCTGCTTTTCCATGACCGCCTCCTCCATAAAGAATATTTGGTGACCCTGGTGCTCTAGAGACAACTACACAAAGCCTACAAATGGACTTCTTGTCATCCTTACAGAAGAAATGGAGTTTTTCTCCATGGTGCTCACAGAGATCTCTCTTCTGTACAAGTTTCTTGTTACAAACACATTGAGAGCTATTACAGTTGAATTCTCTTCCCCAAAAAGATGTTGAAGTTCTAATCCCAAATATATGTGAATGAAACTTTAATTGGAAATCTTGTCTTTGCAGATGATCACGTTAAAATGAAGTCATTAAGGTGGGTCTAAATTTAGCATGACTGTGTCTTTATAAAAAGTTGATATTTGGACAGAGACAGACATGCACTCATGGAGAAACCACGTGAAGATAAAAGCAGAGATCAGGGTGATGCATCTACAAATAGAGGAACACCAAATATTTCCAGCAAACTTCCAGAAGCTAGCAAAAAGACATGGAACAGATCCTTCCTATGAAACCCTCAGAAAGAACCGATCCTGCCAATACCTTTCATCTTATATTTTTAGCCTCCAGAATTGTGAGAAAATAAATTTTATTTAAGCCATGTGTTTGTGGTACATTTTTTTATGGAACCTCTAGAAAATAAGACAAGTGCTTATTTTTCCTTTATTCATCCATTCTCCATTCTATCATTGAAGACGCTTTACATCATTAAAAAAAAAAACCTCCCACCTAATGCAGACAGACAGACAACAGACAGACACAGAGACAAAATGTATGCTCTCCTTTGGAGACGGTGCAATGTAGGAGTTCTACAGTAAGGTAAGGAACAACTAGATCCTGAGTTTCCTTATCTCACTCTATCCAGATGGTCTGCCCAGAGGCTTTCTGTATCTGTACAGTTTAGGCAAGAAAAATGAAATGGTCTCCACAATGCAGATAAAAAGTCCTGTCAGGTGTTTATCCAACATCCTTGAAACTTCTCCTGTTACTCTTTCAGGAACTGTCAATGGGAAGGTGGACCTGTTCTTGGCATCCAGAGACCTGAGAAAAGTCAGAAACATGACAACTCCTCCCCCATTCCTCTGTGCTGAGAGATCCCTCTTCAACCTTCCCTTAAAGTACAGGCTTAATCTGCCCCACAGTAATGACCCTGTCCCTAAGCACTCTAGCTCCCAGGGCAATTAGTTGCAAAGAAGTCATTTGGCAATAGAGGCCATCTTCATATAGCTAACCTAAATCTAGTCCCTTTTTCTCACAGTCAGTTCATCACAAAATCCTATAGCATTTTCTTCAAATTAGGTCTCATTCAATGAAGTCTTTTAACCATATTCAAGGAATAGTTTCCCCACTGTCTCCCCAATACTGTCATTGGGTCACACAGTGAGCTCTCATCACTGTTCACATCAACAGCCAGAATGATTTTTAAACATATACATCAATCTTGTCACGTCTCTGATCAAAGTCATGTCATTCCATGTGAGTCCTTCTTTATTGTGGTCTGCTGAAGTGCACGTTACACATCCCCTGCTATGGCCTCATTCTTCTCTCCCCACCTCCTACTCCTCCTCAAACCACACTGGCTGCCTTTATGTTCCTTAATCACTCTGGATAAAAATATATTTTGTACACATCATTTTTTTTGAAGACTCTTCTCTAAGTCGCCTTCCCACAGTGAGACCTATCCTGAAATATATTTAAAATTGCAAAACCCTTTCCCAGAGCATGTGGATCTTTTGCCCCATCACTGCCCATTTGTCTTACTATTATTATTGTTTCTTTGTTGTGTTTTTGTGCCATAGTGAGTTTCATCTTTTTGCATACTACATTACTCTTTTACTCTTTATTTACTTTCTCTCCCCTGAGCCCTATAATCTTTTGTGGGTGCTTACTTTTAGTGTGAGTTCAGTAGATGTTAATACAATTTTTTTCAACAGCTGTAAACTATTCTTTTTGTGAATTTAATCAAACATATTAAAATTTATTTAAATTCATTGCCTCCTCTTTATTGGGCCCTGTACTAGTCACTGAGTAGACAATTAATATATACCATCTTGTCCAGGTCTTTCTAAGATTATGAAGAATAAGTTCTTAGCAAGACCTCTCACCTGAAGGTCATGGGGCACTACTCAAGTAAGAGTAAACCATGGCCCTCAGTGGAGAACAAATTCCCTGTGCCTGGAACTCCGGAGAGACAAGTGACCAGAGAGGAGTTGCGAAGATGGGAAGCATCTGGTCATCCAACCTGTCTCATCAGGCTGGCCAAAGGACTGATAATTTAACAGGAAGATTGTGAACACCTTCCTAGAACTTACCAGGACTAGTAGTACAAAAGATTATCTTCAAGAAGGTCTTATCCTGGCAGAGCCCCTAAGATCTCTTCTCTCCATCATGAATCCACATAAGGGCTCTCCCCTCTGCGGGCTCTCACCAAGAGCTTATGCTTTTGTGAAGAGGGAAAACAGGGTTCCATCTCACAGGCTTCTCTGGAGGGAAGGAGGAAGGAATTCTCTGCTTCTGAAATAAACTATTCTGGTTTATCTTCACAGGGTAGAAAATCAAAGCTACAGAATAAGAAGAAGATAAAGGCAACAGCCTGGAGAAATAGTGGTCCCTCCTAGAAACAAACAAGGATCTTTACTTTTTTAAACTTCTCTTTCTTAAAGCTTGCTCCTTTCTCAGAATCAATGTCCCCTCTTCTGCCACTTTAGCAGAAATGCTACAATATGGCTCCTTTTTTAATCCAGAGAAACTTCAGAACCAAAATTAAGCTCACCCAAACACATTCAATCTGTTTCTCCCAAAGACTACTGCTCTTTGCCCTCAGAATCTACCCTACACACCTTTAGCCAAAGTGGATGAGTCCTGACTTGGTAGAGATCAGGCGCATGTGTGGTAAAAATTCACTCACCAAGGCAAAGGCCTGCTCACCAAGAGGAGTTCCCCCGCAGGAGCTGGGTGAAAAATGAAGGTTAAATTCTTAGAAGGGGAAATTAAACAAAGGAAGCAGAATAGAAACGTTAAAACAATAACAATGAGAGACCACTAGGTAGGACTAGTGGAGAGTAATGCTTCAGTATGCTCTAGGGCCTGCACTATCTTACTCCTCTCCTAGTTTAGTATAGCAAGAATATTTGAATAAGAAGAATGTGAATTACAATGATACATTCTACAGTTTGCCTGAATACTCAGAGTTCAATCTTATTGTTATTATTTAAGCTAATCCTATATTCAGATCCTAAGCAAGTCACTAGGAATAAAATAATGATCCAGAAAGGTTTGGCACCTGCCTCTTGTAACACAGAGTGTGATGAGGAAAATAGTCAGTTATAAACATTCTAAAATTAAGCTGGCACAGTGAGTATTAGTGGCTGTTATTGTGAATTGTAAAAATAAAATTAAAAAAGATTCTTCAGTGGGAGCCTATTGAGAAAATACTTCCACGAGTCCATCAGTTAATTACAAGTTTCTGGTCTTCATTCAGACAGGCCAGAAGAGGAAGGTTTCCAGAGACTAATCATAGTAAAACTGTGTCAGCGTCACGTTACTCAGCAAGTAAGAGGCAGGTGAGAACATAGTGGTTTATAGACGGTGCTGCTCCCGAATAATCTTTCACTGAGTAACACTCACACCTCCAAAATTTGTCCACTTTTCTCCACTTCCTTTGGGAAACATTTGGTCCTTTCTCACCCATCCATCAAAAGCAGACCTAAACATTTTACATTTCCAATACATACTTTTGTGTCCTATTATCTACTGTGTTCTTGTTCTGACTACGTTTCAGATGTTGTAGCTACAAGACAGTGGAAGCTCCATAACATGAGACCCTGACAGATAGGACGGCAGAGCTCACCAATCTTCACACGTTAACTGATGTGAGACATGTAGGGTGCTGGGAAGTCGATGTTTTTCCTATTAAAGCACAGCTATTTTGGCATTGTTTGTAACCCACAGAAGAGTAAGCTAATACTGGCCTGTAAACTCTTTCTGACTCACTCATATCTATGAGACCGGAACTGAAAATTATATAGACATAATTGCTGAGCCATATTGACAGTTTCAGTTTCTTGGGTAGGAATAAAATTTGTTCTAACAACAAATAAACTCATGATGCTTTTCAAGTGCAATGAAATCCTCCACATTTTGTACAAATTGCATTTTTTCCTTTACCTTCTTTGTTATCGCATAATACTGTCATTGAGTATCCCTCCTCATCCAGCCCTGTGCCCAACGAGAGTAAGTTGTCTTGAAGGCAGGAAGGGTCTTTTTCTGTGTTGTTCCTTCTTGTCTCAGATGTATTACAGTGTTGTATCTATGCAGTGGTATCTAAACAGAAAGACATGCAGTTACATAGCTGTAGATATCATTTTAATTACACTGAACATACTGATGATAACCATGGTTATGTTCTATTATTGTTGTTGCAGTCAACATAATTCTGTGATACATAATGAAATTCTCATATTAGTGCTAACATTTATGTGAATTCTCTTGACAAATCTTAAGAAACAATTTTTCATATCTTCTCTGATTTGCGCCTAAGATTGACTAAGGCACTTACTCAATGCCTGTTGTTTCATCTATCTACACCACCACACTCTAACCACATTACTTCCTGTGCCCTGTGGTTTTTTCAGATTGTAAACAGTAAACAATCATGGGCCAAAATGGGGGGATCTTTCATTAGACTCCTCTCCAACAGGAGACGTAGGGATTGGTGGTGAACACAGAGCTCTAAGGAGGATTTATTATTTCCTGGGCCCTCAAAACATACTAACCTAGGGGCCGGCCCCATGACCGAGTGTCTAGGTTCACACTGATTGAGATCCTGGGCATGGACATGGCACTACTCCAGAGGCCATGCTGAGGTGGCATCCCACATGCCAGAACTAGAAGGACCCATGACTAAAATATACAATTATGTACTGGGGGGATTTGGGAAGAAAAAAGCAGGAAAAAAAAAGACATTGTAAGCTAGAATGTGGACCATAGCAATGTGGTTATCTCTGGAGATGGACCTTGGGTGGTGGGAGAAGGAGCATGGTTCCTTCAGGTTTCCTTCTGGCACACGTTTTCTCATACCCTGACAAACTCTGATTTCTTCCTTGGTTTCTCTCCAGTTTAAATCTAATGTCTCAGAGGAGGTTCCCGGGACATTAGTGGCAGTCTCCCTGCCCTCCCATCTCCTCTGGGGCCTCTGATTCCCTCCTTCATTTTCCAGATGAATTTTTTATAATCTCTTCCCAGACAAGTGCAACAACATCAGGTCTTCTATGTAGTTGCAATTTTTAAATTATAGATTGATCCAAGGCTTTACAGCCTAAAGCTGCTCTATCTCCAACCACTCAGAAATGAGTTTGGGGAGAAAGAGTTCTTGGGGGATAAAGAGAAGGAATCCAGATAAAAAGCCAACTTTTACACCCCTTACTGCCAAAGAAATCTCTTTCTTCATATTCCAGAGGCACTTGGACCTCATACAAAATCTCATAGAGTCTGGAGGAAACCCACTATATCTCTTGGGCCCAGGAAGTGAAGTCAGATCAGAGACTCAAAGGGAGAAAAAAGTACAGGCATAGCTTGCTTTATTGTACTTCACAGTTATTTTGCTTTTTTTTAGAAATTGAAGGAGAGTACCATGCATGCCTCTAGGAAGCCTATTAGAACAATTTTTCCAACAACATTTGCTCCCTTGTTGTCTGTCTGTCACATTTCGGTAATTTCCACAATGTGTCAATTTTTTTCATTATTATACAATTTTTATGCTGATCTGTGATTAGTGATCTTTTATGTTACTATTGTAATTGTTTTGGGACACAATGAACTGTGCTCATATAAGACAGTGAACTTAATCAATAAATGTTGTCTGTGTTCTGATTGCTCCACCGACCGGCCACTCCCCTGTCTCCCCTTCTCCTCAGGACTCCCTCTTCCCTAAGACACAACAATGTTGAAATTAAGCCAATCAATATCCCTAAAGTGACCTCCAGGTGTTCGAGTGAAAGGAAGAGTTTCACATCTCTCACTTTGAATCAAAAGCCAGAAATGATTAGGCTTAGTGAGGAAGGCATCTCCAAAGCCAAGATATGCTGAAAGCCTCTTGTAGCAAACAATCAGCCAGGTTGTAAAGGCAAAGGAAAAGTTCTTGAAAGAAATTAAATGTGCTACTCCATGAACATATGAATTATTAGAAAGTGAAACAGATTTATTGCTGATATGGAGAAAGTTTTAAAGGTCTGGATAGAAGATCAAACCAGTCACAACATGTCCTTAAGCCAAAGCCTAATTCAGAGCAAATCCTAACTCTCTTCAGTTCTATGAAGGCTGAGAGATGTGAAGAGGCTGGAGAGGAAAAGTTTGAAGCTAGGAGAGGTTGGTTCATGAGGTTTAAGGGAGGAAGCTGTCTCCATAGCATAAAAGGGTAAGATAAAGCAGCAAGTGCTGACATAGAAGCTGCAGCAAGTTATCCAGAAGATCTGGCTAAAATATTAATGAAGGTGGCTACACTAAACAGCAGGTTTTCAATGTAGACAAAATAGCCTTATATTGGAAAAAGATGCCATCTAGGACTTTCATAGCTGGAGAGGAGAAGTCAATGCCCAGCTTCAAAGCTTCAAAGGACAGGCTGACTCTCTTGTTAGGGACTAACACAGCTTCTGAAGTTTGGCTGAAGCCAATGCTCATTTACCATTCTGAAAATCCTAGAGCCCTTAAGAATTATGTTAAATCTACACTGCCGAAGGAAGAATAAAGCCTGCATTGCAACATATCTTTTTAAATCATGGTTTAGTGAAAATTTTAAGCCCACTGTTGAGACGAACTACTCAGAAAAAATGATTCCTTTCAACTGCTCATTGACAATGTACCTGATTACCCAAAATCTTTGAGAGATGTTCAATGAGATTAACGTGTCTGCCACCACAACATCCATTTAGCAGCGCACAGACCAAGAGGTAATGTCAAATTTCAAGCCTTATTATTTAAGAAATACATTTTGTAAGGCCGTAGCTGCCAGTAGATATGATTCCACTGATGGATCTGGGCAAGGTACATTGACAAATTTCTGGAAAGGATTTGCCATTCTAGATGCCATTAAGAACATTTGTGATTCATGGAAAGATGTCAAAACATCAACATTAACAGGAGTTTGGAAGAAGTTGATTGAAACCCTCATGGATGACTTTGAATAGTTCAAGACCCCTGGAGGAAGTAACTGCAGATGTGGTAGAAATAGCAGGAGAACTCAAATTAGAAATGGGGCCTAAAGATGTGAAAGAACTGCTGCGATCTCCTGATAAAACTTTAACGGATGAGACGATGCTTCTTACGGGTGAGCAAAGAAAGTGGTTTCTTGAAGTGGAATCTACTCCAGGTATAGATGCTGTGAAGATTATTGAAATGACAAGAAAGGGTTTAAAAATATGGCATAAACTGAGTTGATAAAGTAGTAGAAGGGTTCGAGAGGATGGACACCAATTTTGAAAGAAGTTCTGCTGTGGGTAAAATGCTATCAAACAGCATCACAGGCTACAGAGATATCATTCATGAAAGGAAAAGTAATCAATGTGGAAAATTTCATTTTTGTCTCATTTTAAGAAATTGCTACAGCCAGCCCAACCATAAGCAACCACCACCTTGAACAGTCAGCAGCCATCAACATAAAGAAATGATCCTCCATCAGCAGAAATATTATGACACACTGAAGGCTCAGATGATACACAGCATTTTTTGGCGATAAAGTATTTTTTAATTAAGATGCGTACAATATTTCTTTAGACATAGTACTACTGTACATGTAATAGACTACAGAATAGTGTAAACATGACGTTTATATGCACTTGGAACCCAAAAAATTTGTGTGACTTGTTTTATTGTGACATTCACTTTACTATGGTGGTCTGGAACTGAGCCTACAATATCTCTGAGGTATGCCTGTAAAAGGATGGCTATGGGATGTATGGGAGGCATGAGAAGGAAGAGTATAAGAGAAAAGAGAGCACCTTGCACAAGGGAGCTCATCTCCTTTGGTCCTCAAAATCAATTCCCCTACCCTGTCCTGGGCATCCCACGTAAACACACTCACACACACTGAGCCCTCCACTCCCCTCTAGTTGTTAACAAGATTTACAGATCAAAAATAGACTATAACAAACATCACATCTACTGTATAGCTCGACGCTAACCACCATATTCCATACCATCTTCTTCTCCTTCCTGAACTGTGAGAATGAAAAATGGGACAACCCCTTTGAAAGAAACCTGGTAGTTCGTTATGACATAAAACACACACTCACCCTAAAAATCAGTAAATCACCTTATGGTATTTGCTCAAGAGGAATGACCTATTTGTACTTGCAGAGGACTGGCTATGGGGATCCCACCAAGCCCTTCAAGAACGCATACTGCAAAAACAATTTTCCTTCCTTCTCACTGCGGGAAGAGAAAGGGCTTTTCTTCATTGCTGAGGACTGCCATAGTCTATATGATCACTGGAAAGAGTAAGGCTGTCCAAGAGAAACACAAGTATGGCCTACAACGTTGTTGAGAAATCCCACAAAGTACTCTTGACTCTTCCCATATTGCCATGAATAATAATTTGTTGAAGAGAAAAACAATTGCCCCACTTCCCACCCCAGGGAGACAAGTGAGAGTTAACTGAGCTGGGAAGGTACCTAGTACAGCAGAAGGGGAGTATAAGCTGTGAATGCTGAGGTTAAGAACAGACCCAATTTGGGATAGGATGGAGAGAGTAGCACAGAATGAAGAGATTGCACAGCATCATCATCACATAAAATGGAAAGTCACTAGAATACCATATTAACAAGGGCAGGTTATGTGTTTATTCCAATGAAGATCTCAGGTCCTCAAATGGAGAAACTTCTGATCACCACGTGGTGCTGGCTCCAGATACTGCTGCCTGCACATTGTCCATGGATGTTCTCGCAGGTTGAAGATTCCTTGTTTCCTGAGTTCTCCTAATCCCACTGAAACTTTTTCCTGTGGATGCACATCTGCCTCATTAATGGCCCAGCACAGTCCTGAGGCCCCGGAAATATACCAGGAAGTGATTGCTACTCAGAGATTGAAAGGTGCTGGGGTAGGAAAAACCTTAGAACTGACTTGCAGAAAGCAAATCCACATTTGGTGTCCACCAGATTATTTGAGTCCAGGATACCTTCTCTGGTTGTTTACTGAGAAGAGACAGTGCAATTTGGGGAAGTTAAAAGTTTCATATTCTTTTCAGAAAAGGGCTTCATTTTGGGGCCATGAGCCTCTGCTAAAAAGTAGATGCCCCACAATGTACACATTGTTTCTGTGGTATATAAAATTTCAGGGTTTTATTTCCTTATACCTAGGTACCTCATCCTGAACTGGAGGACTGGGCATTACAGTGAACATCCCTGGAGAGTCATTTGTCAATTATTCAAGAGTACAAATTTTTGCTGGTGTATCAGATCCTCAGTCATCATAGCAATGAGGTGAGAGGAAGGCAGAGGTCAAAGGAAAAATTTAGATCAATTTCCTCCAGTTGCCATGCATGAGCACTAAGATATGGATTTATAGATCACACACACACACAGATACTGGAAATACCCACTTTGAAATCCCTTATCTCATCCAAGGTCATCCAAAGATGAGGAAGTTGGGAATTCCGGGGACAAGCAGGGATGACAGTAGACACTGTTAACCAAACAGTCCACTTTTTTTTTAACTCCGAAGTTGGCTGGGGGAAGAGTTGTGAATAAAAATTCCAAAAGACATGGGGGTTCCCACTAAGTCCTGAATGAACATCCACTGCAGAAATAATTCCCCTCCTATCTCACTGAAGTTGGAGAACAGGCTTTCCTCTTCATCCCTGGGAACTTTCACTTCACTGCAAAAGTAAGGCCGACCAGAGCAAAGAAGACTGACTCACCTACACGGTTGTTAGGAAATTCCACAATAGAACCTCTGGCTCTGACTCTATCCCTGTGAATAATAACTCTTTAAAGCTTGGCAAACAGAGTCCAAATTGAAACTCAATTTCAGTGACACAGAATTACTACAGAAAATGAAAAAGATAAGACTGGGTGGCTATATAGAAACATTTATTTGCAATTAGCTAAAACTTAAAGAAAATTGTAATTCTTTAATTAAGTTATTGTATTTCTTAAAACAAAGTGGGGGTAATAGTGTTGAAAGTAAACTAATTTGTATTGTTAAAATCATTTATTTCAGTCACAGTGAGAAGGAGCCAAAAAATAAGTACACAGCATGCTGGATTGCTGCTATGTGCAATGACAGAAATGACAGAAGTTATTGAAAACCTTCTGTTTTTTAATTTTTGTAACACTACACCAGGCAAATTTCATATTTTTTTTACAAATGAGAAACTGAATCCCATAGAATTTAAGTCACTTGATAAAGGCCAGTATGTAGCATGCCAGAATTATAATGAAATTCTAAATGTTGTACACATACACATAGACACAGATTATTTAGCACAAGCAGAGCTGGAGTAGTCTTGACAGCAGCAGAGAGCTAATTAGGATCTGAAAAATGAGACTTCAGGAAAAACAACCCTAGCGCCCCTGAAGACACAAACCTGTTTCATGAGACTCTGACACAGCTTATATTTTTCAGTAATTAGTAGAGCAAATACTTATTATTAAGTTGAGACAATTAGACACTTTGTACTTAATGGCATTTTTCTTCTCACAATGATCCTAAGTATGATGCAATTTTTATAGCAAGATTATTTTAAGGAAATAAACACAGCACTTAAGTATGTTAGTCAAGGTTACAATGCTATTATGTGGAAAGACAAGACTTGAACTCAGACACTCTGGACCTAAAACTTACACTCTTGGTACATATGATTTATTTCATGATATTTTCTCCTTAACTCCTTGATGAATAAGGGGTACCAGGAGTGAATCGACACCCCACTAAGGACACATTCTTTCGTGGATAATTCCCATACACGGTCTTCAATAATATACAAAAGTTGTTGAAAAGCTGTCCTTCATCTTCTCAGTCTGTGGCAGAGGAAATGAGGATGTATAAATTGACAGATGTGTTACATCTTTCTTTCTTTATAAGGCATCAGTCAATTTTCCTTAGGAGTATGAAAAATGATGAATTAAGATTTTCTCCTAATGCAAAAATGATACTGGAAAAATACGACACAGGGCAAACTGAGCATCCTATTAATGAATGAAGGATCTTCAAATAGGAAAAAGAGACGCAGCAAGGAAAAGATGGTGAGAATAGTATAAATAAGCTGAGTGCATTAGATGCACCCAAGGCAAGAGGCAATACAAAGTGTGTGAGGGTGCAAGAAGGTTTAAGAACTTGGCGACCACAGTCATGGGGAGATGACATTTCATAGGATTGAAATATGGAAAAGTTGCCTGAGAAAAGCAACATGAGGAGAATTTATAGATGAGAAACCCATGGTTTGTTACATTGAAAAATGAGAAGGTGCCGGCCTCATAGTCTAGGAAAATTCCAACACGAAGGGGAGGAACAGTCAAGGAAAGGGTTAAGATCAAAGGATCTGAGGAGGAAGCCTCCTCAAAAGCATTATATTCAGAGCGATTCCGTAACCCTATAACCCAGTACCCATTTTTTTGGTTGATATGTAGAGTAAACATGTTGTCTAAAACAAACTTCCATGTTGAATTTAGGGCATTTTCCACTGTATACCCCCAGGATCCAGGCATGCTTCTCTGACACATCTACCTCCCAGTAATGTTTCCTTGATCTGATAACTGGGGAGCCCAGGACACCATAATCATCATAATCGCCATTCCGATATGCATTTTTCTTTGATTTCAAATAGAACACATATCTCACTTGTCTCTTATCCCCAGAAATGAAAACTTTTGATTTATTGTTGGGAGGATCCAATGTCACATGAACTGTAGAAAAATTACAAGGTTGGGTGAGGCATATGATGTAGCTTGATTTGGCACATTCTGAGAGGGATCTCGGGAATAGCTTGAGGGGAAACTGGAAAGAACTCTGTTCTGTTCTTGGGGAGAGATATAACACTGCAGAAATATAAGATCTATCTGTGTGATGGAAGGGGAAACATGGGTCTTAAAACATGAGACCTGCTAGAAAATGCAAAATTCTAAAAGATAATGAGAACAGAGTGGCTCGATAACACTGTGATTTCTTCTTACCCTAGTAGCGTTGAACATCTGTGAGCTCTGAAATTAAAACATCCAAGACATTAATAATCCAATATTAAATATAAGGAAAGGAGTCAGCACTGAAATCTATTTCCTCTCTAGATTAGGGAGAGGTGAGATAGTTAACAGGTAAATCAGAGGATGAACAAGACACTTGGCCACTCCCCATTAAATTTCATGATATAATCAGCACATGATATCTACCCTTTTTTCTCTCCTCTACCGACACCTAGAAATTGTACCCTCCTCCCCACTTAGCCCCTGCTATCACAAGAATCCCACAGCCACCCACTAGCTCTAACATTCCTCACCATTAAACATTCGCAACATCCCTCTCAGATCAGGAGCTCGGAAAACTCTCCTTTGTTCCTTGGGAAAAGTTTTTGGCTTCTTCAGAGTCAAGGTCTCACTCCTAGGGATGACAAAAATTGGCTTGCACACTTCTGACTTTTTGTCCCTGCAAAAGCACTAACTTCCTCTCATTTCACCACATTGATGCACTTGAACTCTCTTATCTGGAGACTCTGAAAAAGGAGATAGTAGACTGCTGCCCTTTGAGCCAGAAATATGTTTATGTCCACCTTCCAAGTTACCCTGTATGTGACCTTAGGAAGATCCTGACCTCTCAGATGCACAGCTTCTTCCTTCCAAAATGAAATCACTAATCTCTCCCTCTTTACCTCCTAGTAATCATGTGAAATTATATGAAATAATGGATTTAACAAACAAAACAAAATATTGGTACCTTAAAAAACATAATGTGTTTAAAAAACCCTGAATGGATGTGGGTTCCCAGGGAGAAGATCAGAAAATGAGGTTGCAGAACCTGGATCCTGGGTGTTTGAGACATCTCAAGTGTGGGAATACTGTCTAGAGAGGATGGAGATCTTCATAGTTTGCTCGCTAGTGTAGGGTGGCCCTCAGAATAAGATCCGGGATTTCAGGTTCTCTGGAAACAACTACAAACCCTTGGAAAAGAAGATATTATGAACACCAAACTAACAGTGGGATGAATTTTAAGAGTTTGGAAAGAGCTTGATGCTTCCAGGTAGGTGTGCCAATTTAGATACAAGGATGCCTCCTTTCCATTCTGGCTTCTGAAGAACGTGACCAAGATGGATCAATTGTTTGCACCAGGGCCAAAATATTCCTAAAGATTCAAGTCTGTTTTTTGAAAATCAAACCAGAACCATACTGAAACACCTGTTCTCTTCAATTCCCAGGGCAAAAATTTAAATACAAAGGATTTGTCTCCAATTTTGGGTGCTTTGCAGATAAAGAAGCCACGACCTAACCGTGATAAGTCAAGCACCTACGAAATACGGGAACTCCATTTAGATCCAGGCACACTGGGTGAATAAATTTATGAAATCACAAGGTTCTGATTCAGCAATGCCTTATCTCTAACCCTGCCACTGAACCAAACTCTCTTCAACTTCCCCCAGCCAATTCCCTACCATAGAATCTGGTCCACTCTTAATAATTATAGAACACTCAAACAATGATTTGTGAACAGAAATTTAAGAAAAATCTATACCTCAAATTCCTTCCCTGAGCAATGTTTTATTCTAACTGACCACCAGATTACCCTAATAGCTTTAAACCTCTCTTCACAGCACAGAAGGACCATCTCTGGTCTCCCTCACATACCTTTCCACGATGCCGTTCACATCCTAGGGAGAAAAGAGAAAACATGAGTCAAGAAGTGATACACTCTCCCCACTTACAAAGCTTCATCACATCCCCACCACACCATGATGTGGTGGGAATAGAAATGGTCCCAAAGTGAGAGCCATAAAGCAAAGATAAGACCTAGGCTACTCATTCTAGAAGACTCATGAAATGTTGTCACGTTTCCTAAAAGATAGAAACAGCTTTGATCCTAGTGGAAGTGCAGCATGAGGCTTCTGATATCGGGAGATGAGAGACATTTATGAGGAAAACAAGAGGTCCATAATTTTTTTCAAAAATACAGAAGGCTCCCCATGAGATGATTTGAATAATTCATGGTTCTTTCATTTATTTAACAGAAATGTAAAACGATATACTATTATTTGCCAAGCATTATAACAGGCTTTGGAAAATCAAAGTTGAGTAAATAATCATAATATCCCTCAAGAAGTTTGCATGGTTTTTGCTGAGGGAACAAGGAAACAAATACATTAATATAAGTATTTTTTAAATCTCTCTCTTCTCATTTTATATATTATCTGTATGTGCCTTCGTCTACTCCCTCCAATTAAACACACAAATATGCCCAGTTAATTTCCAACTCTTTATTTTTACTCAATTTTGCCCTTAAATGTAGGTTAATATATTCAGTAGTAAAGAAGCCACAGGAACCAGTAACTTAGGATGTCTAATATATAACCCACTGTTCATAAACCAAATCGTTTCTTCTCTTATACTCCATAACGTTACCAATATCCACTGGGTCAGTGTCCTGAAAAGTACAATATTTACCCAACTCTTCAGTCTCTACCAAGCCAGTTTAGTCTACATTCTTAACAGTTTTTAGCCATCCGATCTTCTTTGTCATCACAGATATTATTTTATTTGTTTGAACAGCTTTGTACCAATACATGTGGTACCTTTTGTCTCAGACTTACTTCACTCATGTCACCAAAAAATAGGCCAATAGCTGGGTCTACAGATGACAAAAAACAAATGATTTTGCTCTCTGTATTAGGGCTTTTTTTGTATAAAACAAAAACCAAAAAAAAAAAAAAAACTATTAAGTAGAGAAAGAATTTTTGAAGGCAGTCATAAGTTTATTTAAAGCTTAATTTTGAAGCTCAAACCTTGTCATAAGGGACTAGTCTATGTCACTTTTAAAATTCTATTTATTCTCTATATGTTGATTTGTTTTCAATTCATGAAGGGAACATGAATCTCCTGATATAAACTCCAGAATGAAAGAGAACTTCTCTTTCCAGTTCTCACAAAAATTCTGAGTTCTGCAAGGCATTGGCCTACCTTGGATCAGATGCCCATATTAAAAGCATCATTGTGTTCTTGCGGAAAGGAAATGAAGCAATGTTGAAGGGAAATTTCTATTTACTGGAACTAAGTTCGTTTTAATCTGAAGTAGATTGTGATAGGATAGGATGCATAATGTAAACACCAGAGCCATCACTAGGAAAAAAACTTAAAAAAAATACAGTTAGAAAACAGGAAAACAAAATGTTATATTGGAAATATTCATTTAACAGGAAAGAAGCATCTTAAGGAGAAAGGTAAGAATAAAACCTACAGGAGAAATACGAAAAGCAAGTAGCAAACTGGAAAATTTTAATTCAGCAACATCAATAATTGCATTAAATGTCATTGTCTTAATACCTCAATTAAAAAGGCAGAGATTTTTGGACTGGATAAAAAGGAAGATTCAATTATTGCTATCTTCAAAATGCATAATTTGGATTCAAAGACAGAAATAAGGGAAAAGGTAAAAATATAAAAAAATATAAACCATACAAGGAGTAATCATGAAATTGCTCCTGTCTATATTAATATAAGACAAAATAGACTTTAAGGCAATAAATATTACGACAGAATGAGTGAGAAATTTCATAATGATAAAAAACTCAGTACATCAGGAGGTATCATGGTTGTAAATGTGTATGCATTTAACAACAGAGCTTCAACATACACAAAGTGAGATTAATAGAAAAACTAGATAATTCAATAATAATAGTTAGAGATTTCAGTAACTCTCAATAATAGAGAGAATAGCTTGTTTGAAAACTGTCAATAAGACGTGAACAATAGAATGAGCCAAGTTGATCTGACATTTATACAGCATTTTACCCAATGATCGAGAATAAACATTCAAATTTACATGGAGAAATTTTCTGGATATACAATATTTTAGGTCATAAATGTGTCAAGACATTTAAAAGATTGAAATAATAAAATATATCTTCTCTGATTACAGAGGAATTAAATTTGAAATACACAACAGAAGAAAAAGTAAGAAATCACTAAATATTTTTTAATTGAACAACTCACTTTCAAGTATCCAAAGGGTTAACAAAAAATCACAAAGGAAATTTAAAAGTAGGGTGAACTGAGTGAAAATAAAAACTAAATAATCAAAATGAATGGCATACAGCTAAAGTAATGCATTTATCATTAAACACAATGTCAGAAAAAATGGTCTCAAATCAGCAATCTGAGTTCTCCACTTTAAAAATATCCAGAAAATGAACAGCAAATAAACCTAACATACACACACACACCCATATGTGTACCTACATATGCACACACACATAAAGAAAGCATTAAACGTGAGAGTAGGAATAAATGATATAGAAAGTTTAAAAAATAGATAAAATCAATGAAATAATAAAGATTGTTCTTGTAAAAAAGCCGCAAAATTGATCAAACATAACTAAACCTACCAGGAAACAAAAGTGAAAAAGCAAATCACTGAAATCAGGAATAATACAGGGGACATTACCGTGTGTGTTGTAGAAATTAAAAAATTTCTGAAGTATTATTATGATGAACTTTATGTCTAGAAATCAGACAAGTTAGATAAAATGGATAAATTCCTATAAAGACATGCAATACCAAAAACTGACTCAAGAACTTTAGAAAATTGAAATAAGGCTAATACAAACCAAAACAATATTATTTTAAACCTTTCCAAAAAGAAAAGCCCAGAGTGAGACGGCTTCACTGGTGAATTCTATTAAATATTTAAGAATAAATAATAATAGTCTTTCACAATTTTTATTCAAAAAATAGAGAAAGAAGAGGAAAATATCAACTCAACTACAAGGAAAATAAAAAACAAACTTACAATCCAAAGTGCATTTGCTTGTCTGTGACTAAGCTGGGTGATAAAGAGGTAACGGATACATGCTGGACACAGACTCCAGATAACAGAGGCCTATAGAATACCACTGGACACAACAGGTCTCCTCTCCAAGATCAAATTTTTGCACTATGCTCGATAAATTAATAAACTTAGATTTTCCCTTGTTATCCATGCATTCCATTATTCCTATAACCTCTGTAATAGTTGCAGGGAAGGCGTACTGCAGGACAAAAGGAACCCTAGTTTCACCATCAGAAAGAGTACAGCAATACAGAGGAGAGGGAAACTTGTCTTCATTTTTCCTAAATCTCAGATGCTGGGGCTTCTTCTCAAGTCTTACCTGCAGCATCTCCAGTGTTGACCCCTGCAACCGATGCTCCACATCTGAGATGAGAGTTCTCACCAAGAGGCTCTGCTGGACCAGCTCATTCTCAGACTCAGCCAGATTATAAAGAATATCTCCCTCCTCATTCTTCAGCTTTAGCAGCTCCTTCTGCTCCTCACAGTCCAGGATGCCTCTTATTTGATTAAACTCGGCCTGGACACTTTGTCTCTCATTTTGTATTTGATTCTTCAGGAATAAGAAAGAGAGAAATATGCTCAGGTTCTCAGGAAGAGGCCGGGAGCTAGAAAAAGAATGATTCTATTTGGGAAGTTCCTACAGGGAAGAAAGATAAAAGCAGGGGAAAAATTCTAGGGGAAGCTGACTTTTCCTATTATTTTCTCTTCATCATATTCCAAGTAAGGGTCTCAAATCTGCATTGATGAGACTAACCCTGAGCCAAACTGGATACTTGGGTGTGGTCCAGCTTTCACACAGCTGTCCAGGACAGTCAAGCCTCTCTGCATCACTTCTGACCCAGTGCCACCCTGTGCCAAAAGTTGAAAACTGAGGATAGAACCATGAGCCATTGTCAAATGTCTTCCCCCAGTCAAAGGCTCAAAAACATGACAGGAAAGGAGCACAGAATTCACTAGCCATCCTCATCAGATCGTTCATCTGGTGACTACCTCATTTCAAATAACTGTGTTCATTTGCCACAGGTTCACTTTTGAGCCCCTACCCCTGTCAGGAGAAGTATAAAAAAGAGGACTTATCAAATGACTTTTGGACACATCAACTGTCAGGGAACAAAGAGGAAGGCGGTTCCTTGTGACTAACACCCAAGGTCCTGCCCAGATTTCAGTCTAACTCCCTCAGGAAGTGTCTCCTCCTACCTTCCAGGAAGTTCTCTCCTTTCTGACATCAGCTACCAGCTCCTCAGCTTCCACTCGCTTCTCCCTCAGCCTCTCCAGAACTATCTGGAGCTTCTCCTATAAGCAAGGAATTAAATGAGAATCAAGCACTGGGCTTTACAGCATTGGAATAGAGAATAAATGGGGAAGAAATCAGGCTGATCTCTGGAGAGACTGCAGTTTACAGAAACTGTAAGAACAGCAATTAGAATCTTTCACTTGGAAGAAAACTAGAGGTGGTGAATGTGTTCTTTAAGACTCAGGTGATAGAAGTCAGCATCCCCTCCCTAAGAGAAGATTGATTCTCTTTGTTCTAGTAGAAGAAATCTGATCCTGAGACAAGGAAAGAACTTATATCTCAAGCCACCCAGCTCTCCATTCAACCCTCCTGTTCAAAGGGGTATTAAGAGCACGAGGTACAAACGTATCTACTTCTGGTAGGTTTATCCTTTTGTAATTGGATGGAATGCACAGAAATGGCTTTCAGGCCTCGGAAGGTGAGCATAGGAAGAAAAGAGATCACAGACCTCAGGGCTATGGTGACAAGGTCACTGAGCTCAAACGTAAAGTGGAGATTTCCCATCAGGTACCATTTTCTCCCATGCCTTGTCTTCATCCTGGTCTTGTACCTGCTACTCCTGGGCAATCTCCTCCATGAGGAATGTGTGGTGACCACGGTGCTCCTGAGACCGCTCACAAAGCCAGCAAATGACCTTCCCATCCTCCTTACAGAAGAGCAGGAGTTTCTCTTCATGACACACACAGAGATCTCTCTTCTGCTCCTCCTCTGGCCTCAACTTGACCTTCCTGAGCCTCTCCACTATGTTGGCCACATGCCGATTATGCCGCAGGTTCCCCAGCTGGTAAGGGATGCGGCACACAGGGCAGCTGCTCTCTCCTTCTTGGCCAATCTTGGACTCTTTGTTGTTTGAGGTGATGCAGGCTTTGCAGAAGCTGTGGCCACAGTCTAGGCTCAGGGGTTCTGGCAGGAGATCCAGGCAGATGGGGCAGGTCACCTCTTCCTTTATGTCCACCAGGATTCCTGAAGCCATTGCAGCAGCTCCCCTGTCCTGACTTCTGTGTCCCCTCTTGCTCACAGATCCCTGTACAATTGCGAAGGTAAAAGGTGACAGCGTAAGAAAGGTAAGAATAAAGATACTAATTGTGTTAAATCAAGGCCAAAACACAATATTGAAGGACAAAAAAGAAAAGGTGGCGAAACAAGGAAAGAAGCTTGGTGATCTGATAGAAAGGACTTTTCACAATGACTTGAGACACTTTACTCCGAGTTCACATTCTATGACAAATTCCATCCTTGTCTGTGCAATGATTGATATTTTTCTTTACTTTTACTGAACAAAAGGGTGAGAACTTTCCTACCAAGATCCTTGTGTGATCTACCATCTATCCTACTTGTTCTTTCCTGCCAAAACACACCTTCAATGTTAAAAGTGCCAAACCACTTATGGCTCTGGGGTTTTATACCTGCTCTTCTCTCAGCTGCCCTGATATCAGCATGACTCACTCTTATACTTCAGTTCACCGTCTTCTAACAACAGCAAGACCTACTCTGTGTAACTTATTTACAGAGTAACCATTGTCATACCTTGATAGTTGCCAAAATTTGATGATAACAAAAAGATTTCCAGCATGAGACAACCAGTAATTTTTCCCTTTGCCCAGCAAAAAGGAGGGGAAAGCCATTTATTTGTTTATTTTATTTACTTATTATTTATTTATTTATTTAGACCTACTAAAAGTGTCTACTTGTGCCATGTTCATCATCCATGAAGGGAACCTGATAAAGAATGAGGCTGAAGGTAAACCAAAAGTATAATCTAGCTAATAGTAGAGATACTAAAAAGAGTGAAGAGGCCATGTGCAGTCAGCCCCTGGCTGCATAGACTATGGCCCAGATCAGGCTTTGCTGAGTAGCAAGGTCAGAGGTGGGTATTATACCAGGGGTAGATATTACATATAATGTCTACTCCAGTTTCTGACTCAAGCTCTGTTCCAAACATGGGAGTGGGGCCTCCAATTATTTCTCAGTCCACTCAAGATACAACCAATGCTGAGATACTTCAAGAGGCTGTAGAGGGGGAAGGATCAGAGCATGGTTTATGCATGACATTATGGAATTTATTTTCACAGTTGGGCTACAAGGAACTAATGGCAAAAGAACTGCTGCCACTGTGGACACAGAAGGGTAACGTGCAAAGGAGCTAGAGTCCTTTCACGTGGAGGATCACCCCATCTCTACCTAATCAGTGACGCAGGGCTCCACAGCAATCAGCAACATAGATAAAGGAAGATGAATGTTGTCTGCTTGATGGAACTCCCAGGTCAGTTGGCTGCTGTAGGTGTCAGCTGATTGCACCTTATACATTGGTTCTCCAACATATAAGCTCACGAAAATGTCCCAGAGGTGACAGCTAAAGACGAGCAAAAAAGACATTAAAAGACAATAACTATGTAAAAGTTCTAACAATAAGGATATAGTATAACTTTCTTCTCTTGTGATTGGAGCAAAACTATTTCTCTAAGCATGATGGAGCCCCATTTTACTGATGTTATATGGGAAAGAGTCATTTTTCCTAAATAGAATGGGAAAATGAAATTGTGCTGTGTTTTATTTACCAGATAATCATCTAACACTATTTAATGTAAACTCCCTATAATACTACCATATAAAAACTGAAGCATAAAGGTCAGAAATCAGTTCTAAATCCTTGTGATAATTGGTATGACAGAGGTGTAGTGTACGAGCTCAGAAGACAGCTGCCTAACATGGACTTATGGCTGAGAGGAGGACAAGAATATGTAGCAGAGGAGATAATCTCCAAAGTCAACTTTGATAAAATAAGATTTGGTCGTGTGGGGTTAGTCAGGGTAAGAAAAGAGATTTGACTGGTGTCTTCCATATGCCTGAGTAAGATGGGTACAGCGGTACCTTCTATAGGAGGGGGAAGTGAACACAGAGGCTCCCTTATTCTAACTTCCTTCCATCGTGGTTCTCAGGATTTTGTGATCTCACTACTTCTTCTGACATGTTTTAATATCATTAACACCAATCAAGTAACTCATTTTGTTTACTAATGTGGGAAAAGTTACCTTTTCCAGAAATTCTTACTGCATGCTCCTCTTGCTTCAGATCTCTCAGCTGAGCTCTGCCTCCAGGTGGCAGACATGGCCCAAGTAGATAGATGAGCAAGGTTAGTTAGTGATTTTTAAGGAACTGCAACTATTCTCTGTATCTAGATGAATGAATAGATAAAGGCTGCAGAGCTTGGCAGCTGTCACCCCACCAAGGGTCCTAGGCACAGACGGGCCAAGGGATGAGAATTTGTCTACAAAGTCATGCAGAACTACTGTGTTTTTACACCGATAGACATGAAACTATTAGGATTCAAAGACCCCTTTGCCTTTGTTCCTTTTGTTGAGGAGAGGGACCTTCTACCTCTGAAAATTCTAGGAGTCTGGCTGTTCAACAAGGTGCAATTTAAAATTATAGAAAGTTTAGGAGACGTGGCTAGATTCAACTTGGAGAAATAACAGTCCCTTCGGAAAACAAATAAAGCCCTTCACTTCTCCAAACCTCTCTTTTTTGAAGACCACCCCTCCCCTAGACTGCACTTCAGTCAGGACTCTAGCAGGAAGCCTGCAATTTGGGCCTGTTCCCTCTTCAGAACAGCTTCCTGAAGGCGAATTAAACTCACCCTAGAAAATCGTTTTTTCTTCTAAAGTCTCCAAATCTCTGTCCTCTACAAGCTGCTCAACTCACCTTCAAACGTCAATGGAGAATTTGTGCTTCCTTGGAGCAGAGTGAAGCCAGGCTAGGAGCAGAGGTGGTTAGGATTCACTCACTAAACCAGGGCCCTGATCTACACTAAGAAGATCGGAGGAGCCAGTGAAAATGAAAGTTAAATTCTTGGGGGAGGGCAGAAAAGGAGAAGAGAAACTATGGACCAATGGGAGGCCTCCACGTCAGGACCCTGGGAAATGACCAGGCTTTTGCACCGGGGCCAGATGAGCCAGTGACTACCTTCTTATCCCTTTCTCAGTTCTAGTCCTGGAAGCTCTTTCATGGCTCTTCAAGGTAATTCGCCCTTTGGAGCACTAGGCTTCCCTGGGCAGTGGAATTATACACAGATCCACCTTGCCTTGTTCCCTTACAAATGAGCCGTCATGAGGAAGAAATAAAGTACCTCCTTTACCACAGTGAGGACCACACAGAAGGCTCACCTGAGGCAGCTATACTTGCACACTCTCTCCTGTCCCACACCCACCAGCTGATCTAAGTGAGTCTGACCAGTTTGTGTCCTATAAGGTGATGTGAGAGGAAATAGCTATCCAAATCTGAAATCACCTCAGGTGGTCAGTCAGAGGGGCTATCACAGTGGAAGCACAGTGATGCTGACTTTCAGAACCTGGATTCAGTATGGCCAAAATGACACTTTTCCTAATTAGACTGGGTTGATTAAATTGTATGAACTGTCCTTTTGGGGCAATGTCATCCAATACTGTTTAACATATAATCTCTATTTCTTACCATAATAAAAGCGAAGCAGGGAAATAATCATGACATCTAATTTTCCATGTCAACTTGAGTGTCCACAAGGTGCTCAGATCAAACATTACTTCTGGATGTGTCTGAGAGGTTGTTGTTTCCAGGTTAGCATTTAAATCTGTGGACTCAGTAAACTTGATTGTCCTCCCCAGTGTGGGTGGGTATCAGCCAATCTCTTTAGGGCCTGAATTAAAGAAAAGGTGGAGGAAGAACGAATTTGTCCCTTTTGCTTCTTGTCTGCCTGTTTGATCTGGGGCATAGGTCTTCTCCTGCACTTGCACTAGCAGTTGCACGATCTGGATACCCTGGTTCTCGAGCCTTCAGACAGGACCTGATTAAACCATCTGCTTTTCTGAGTCTCCAGCTTGCAGACAGCAGATCCTGGAAGTTCTCAGCCTCCATAATCACTTGAGTATATACATATATATATATATATACACACTCATATATATATTATATATATCATCAGATATATATATATCAGATATATATATGATATATATATATATATATCATATTGATTCTGTTTCTGTCAAGAACCCTGACTAATACAGTAGTGAAAAAATTCTAAAACTCTGTGTTAAGTGGCATAGGTGAAATGTGATCATGATAATGATACCGACGCAGATGAACTGTGCTATTTCAAAAGATGTGTGCCTAAAAATGCCTTGGGGAAGTTAAGGGGACAAGGAGGATGTTGTAGGGATGATAATACTCAAAATCAACCTTAATCCAGTAAGATCTGGTCAGATAAGAGGAAGTCAACATAAAAAAAGAAAGAGCTTTGACTGGGATCTACCATCTGAGTGAGCCAGTCTGAAGTGCAGTGAGCCTTTTACAGGAAAGGGGTGGTCAAATAAAGAGACACTTGTACTTTAATCACGTTTTCCCAGGGGTTTCAAGATCTTTTATCATGTCACTTCTGATATCTTTTCACATTATTAACACCAATCAAGTATCTCATTTTGTTTTATTAAAAGTTGTAAAGATGCCCCTTTATGGAAATTCTTCCTACATGCTCCTCTTGCTCCTGATCTCTCAGCTGAGCTCTGTTTCTTGCTGGCAGATATGGCCCGAAGAGAAGGAGGAGCAAGGTTTTCAGGAACTGAACTAATCCCTGAGTTTGAATTTGGAAATCTGGTATGACTAGCAAACTTAAAAGAAGCTATGGATCCAGACAGCTGTCATACTATTAAGGCTCCCAACCCATAGATGACAGGGTGTAGGATTATGTGGTGTGCCTATAGAAACCCTACATTATTACAGTGACAGATGTTACATTATTCACCTTCAAAGAATTCTCTGACTCTCCCTTATTTCTTCTTCAAAGGATGTTTTTCATCCCTTAGGAGGGTGAGGCATAGCATTTTTCTCTGCTGCTCTCTGTGCAGAACTGGTCCAAAAGACAGGGCTGTGGCCTATGGAGATCCACTGGCTTTCTCTTGGGCATCCTTTGCTAAGATTTCTCAGGAAGTTCTCGCTGGAACTAGGATTACTACTAGAGGTGAGGTCACAGTCTGTATAACCCGAGTTAGGAAATGAAAATGCATGAGTGGAAGACAGGAGGGAGAAATGCAGTGGGCAGCATGGCGTTATCACTAATACCGTCATTAGCTATCTCCATCCTCACCCCACATTGCACCTACAACTGTAAGTTTCATAAAGTCAGACAGAGATTTTCTCTATTTTGTTGCTTAGTGCCTCAGATCTCTTAGAAGTTGTTGCATATAAAGAATGATAAAGATATAGAAATACAGACCTACCGCTGTAAAGCTCATTGTAACTGATTTGAACATCTGGATGATAAACAGGCTTTACGGTTCTTACTGTGAATACAATTGCTGTGTTACACAATGAAATTCTTTTATTCTTATGGTATTATTAATAAAAACGTAATTCCCCTTTGACAAAATTTAGCCAAAATTTTTCGTATCTCTTGATTTCTTCCTAAGGATTATTCAGATTGATGTCTAATTTGTCTCCACTACCACATTTTAACCACATTAACTCGTACTTTGTTTTAAGGTTTTCTTAAATGGAAAAATGTTGGAAATCCATAAAAAATGTTAGTCAAGGGGAGATATTTCATATTTCCTCTCCAAGCAGGAGATGTAAGGACTGGAGGGGAAACACAGAGCCCTAGAGAGGATTTATTTTTCCCTGTAACTCAGAACATGATAAGCTGGAATGTGGAGCATGCCAACATGCTCAACTCTGGTGAAAAATTGTATGTGGTGAGAGGAGCTTGGTGAATTCAGGTTTCCTACTGGCCCATGTTTTCAGGTATCTTCAGGATTTGATTTCTCTCAGCTGCAAACCTGATGCTTCTTAGGAAAGTCCCAAGATATCAACCAAGGATATGGGGTCAGTTCAGAGATTCAAAGGGAGAGGAGTACAAGGATGGATATTGATCTGTGGAAGGATTGGGAATGGAAGAAGTATTGGACAGAGAAGACGTCTTTGAAAAAGATAGCTCTTTTTTTTCAAACATTGCAATCAATACTGCTAGTGCTGTGCTTGTCCACAACACAGTTATCCACTGAGCTCTCCAATCCTGCCCAGTTTCAATCATATAACATAACTAAAAAGACATCTATCCTTAATATCTCTGCATTAACCGCCATATTGCATACCATCATTACTGAATATGCAAAGCAAGCAAAACTGAGGTTCTCTTTCCACTAATGGAGCTATTGATTCTAACAAAACATTACCTTTAACCCATAGATCAGCATTACAAACCTTGAACAAATGTAAAAAAAAAAAAAAAAATGGAAACTAAATATGAAGGCACTACAGAGTGACAAAAGAGTTAGAATCTGCAATGCAATGGACACTTGGCAGAAGGAAAGAGTATTGGGGCAGTTTCCTGGTTTTATGGCTTTTCATTTGAAAGCAGATCTCAGTCAGTAGTGTATGGGACCACTAAAACTCAGCAACATACAGACTTATTGGCTTGAAGAAGAAGAATGATGTGGGGCTACCACAGCAGCTGGGAAGTGGTGGGGAATATCTGTAAAAGAGAGATGCAGAAGAAGAGATCCCAAATTGCACATTTGAACTCTCACCAAATCTCTAAACTACACGTGTGAGAGAAACGACAAGTCATAGAAGTAGGGCTAACAGAACTGAAGAGAGATTTCAGCTGCAAAATGCAGGGGAGAATTAAGAATTTGAATTCAACCAACTTAACTATCAGAAAAAAAACTAATATTTTTCAGAGAAATAAACAGAATCCAGAGTCTCTACATCTCATTCACAATTCCCCTGGAAGAATTTTAGATACAATATAAAATCATTCAACACAGAAAGAAACAAAAAAACATGGCTCCTACTCAAGAGAAAAGGAAATCAATGGGGACCCACTTCAAACAATCAAGATTTTGTATTTAATAGACAAGAACGTTGCAGCAGCTATTCTATCTAAGGTGAAAGATGTAAAAGAGGATATGCTTACAATAATGACCAAAGAAGAAACATCAAAAGACAAATAGAAATAGTGCTTTTAATTGAAATATTAAAACTAGAAACTACAATCAGTCAAAAAACCAACCCAGGCTTGGTTTAGGGGAAATTCAGATCATAAAATAAAGCCCGGGTGAACTTAAAAGTAGATTAATAAAAAAGATCATATATGAAAATAATGAACAGAACCTCAATAACCTGTTAAAAAAAATCAAGATAATAACATAGGCTTAAACCACAGGACAACTACTAAATTACTGCAATGCAAAAACTATACAAGTAGCTTAATTAAATGAGAAACAAAGAGGGAAGCCAGTTCGGTGGCATAGTGGTTAAGTTTGTGCACTCCACTTTGGTGGCCTGAGGTTCTCAGGTTTGGATCCTGGGCTTAGACATAGCACTACTGGTCAAGCCACACTGTGGCGGCATCCCACATAAAATAGAATAAGATTGGCCATAGAGGTTAGCTCAGGACCAATCTTAGTCACACGCACACACACACACAAAAACATGAGAAACAAAGGTGTAAAAAAGAACATGTTCTTTTAATTACATGTAGAAAATCATCACCCAAAATGCAATACCCATTACCCATCATTCATACTAATGATAAATGAGGAATTTTAATCTCATAAAAGGAAATAAGGAAAGGCCTACAGTTAACATCATACTTATGGTCAAATATTGAATACATTCTCTGTACGACTGGAAATATCTAAGAAACACATCAACACACACCATTCATAGTCATAGCTGAACTATATTTCCCAAAATATAAGGCAAGAAAAACAATAAAAGCATAACTATCAGAATAGAAGAAATAAAAGTCTCCAGATGACTTTGCAGATGACACAACAGTTAAAGTAGAAAATCAAAATAAATCTAGAGCAACCTACTAGAATTAGTAACTGAATTAAGCAAGGTTATAGAACTCAAGGCCCATATTGGAAACCAAATATATTTTATAATCTAGCAGTGAATAATTTGAAAATTAAACTTAAACTTCCCTTTATAATAATGTCCTAAAATAAACCACCTGAGGAGATGAACAATGCCTCATTTGCCACCCTGAGTAATTGATTATACATGTCACCTATATGGGAGGGTTCATAGCACTGGGAGGCATTGTTGAGTGGCTGTAGATATGAGATAAAAAGCAGATCTGGGATTGGAGAATATGGAGAGATTAACAGTCAGAATCAGTAGATCCCTCATCACCATCCTTGGACAAACTGGGTGGTTATTAGAATCCCATATCATTGAGCACAGATCATGTGTCTCTATTCCATTAAGGATCTCAGGTCATCAGGGTTTAGAAACATCTGGTCACCAACTAGTGATGGCTGTAGATACCACTGCCTACTCATTATTCATGATGAACCTGCAGGATGAAGCCTGCTTACTCCCTGAGATTCCATGAATCCTCTCCCCTAAATTTCCATTGTGGATACCTATCTCCCAAATTCATGGCCCAGTACAATCCTAAGGTCCCAGAAGTACAAGATGGAGCAATTGCTACTCAGAGAACTTGGATCATGAGAGAACCCACACTTGATGCCAAGTGAACTTTTTATACTGAGTCCAGAATTCCTTCTCAGGACATTTCTGAGGAAAAGCTAACTATAGGCTTCCTACTCTTGTGAGGAAAGAGCTTCATTTGGGGTTAGGAGATGCTGTTTAAAAAAGGATGTCTTGGGGCCGGCCTGGTGGTGCAGCGGTTAAGTTTGCACGTTCTGCTTTGGTGGCCCAGGGTTCATAGGTTGGGATCCCAGATGCGGACATGGCACTGGTTGGCAAGCCATGCTGTGGTAGGTGTCCCACATATAAAGTAGAAGAAGACTGGCATGGATGTTCACTCAGGGCCGGTCTTCCTCAGCAAAAAGAAGAGGATTGGCAGCAGATGTTAGCTCAGGGCTAATCTTACTCAAAAAAAAAAAAAAAAAAAAGCATGCCTTGAAGTTTTCCCCTGTGTTTGCTAACTCAGGTACTTTTCTCTTTAACTCGTTTCACATCTTGAACTGGTTTCCTTAATGAGTTGTGGCTTCAGCCATTGTAGCAATAGGGTGACGAGAAGGCAGAAATAAAAGAGAATATAGATAAGAATTGATTTCCTCCAATGTCCATGAATGAGAGTTTGAGGGGTACATGTGTGTGTGTGGAGAGAGACTGGCTGTATCTAACCTGGAATGGAGAACTGAAGAATTTCTGTGAAACAGGGACCAGAGCAGACACTGTTTGGCCAAGTAGCCTGTTATTTCTATTTCTCTCAGCTCATAAGTAGATTGGGAAAGAGTTGGAAATAAAAATGTTAATGACATTGGGACAACACTACATGCTGCAGGAACCCTCAGTGCTGCAGCATCTGCCCTGCTGTCTCACTGCAGGAGGAGAATGGGCTTAGTAATTCATTCCTGAGGACTGCTGTAGCCTTTCAGCTCACTGGAAACGGTGAGGCTGACCAGAAAAGGAAACATGGAGGTACACCATTGTTGAGGGAGCCCACGACCAAAGTCCTAACCTTTCCTCTATCACTGTAGTCATAAACGGAACCAGCATGGAGATGGGTCTGGGCAAACAGAGAAAACATTTTCCATTGAGAGAGAATTACTGTGGAAATAGAAAAGAATGGCAAATCAACTTATGCCTAGCATATATATTTAGATTAAAGAGACTATTCCAGTATTTAAAATAAAAACAGACGAAGTAGCTTTGAAGAAGGTAAAATTTTATTTTACAATGAAGAAATATTTATTATGTGCACAATACAGTATTGTTAAATACAGTCGTGCACTACATAATGTTTCAGTCAAGGATGGACCGCATATACAACAGTGGTCCCTTAAGATTAGTATCATATAGCGTAGGTGTGTAGTAGGCTATACCATCTAGGGTTGTGCAAGTACACTCTGTGATATTCACACAAAGATGAAATCGCTTAACAACCCATTTCTCAGAACATATCCCTGTCCTTAAGCAAGGCATGTCTGTATAGGCAGAATGTTGTACAGTAGATCTCGAGAACTTACTAAAATTGCATAACTGAAACTTTACATTTATTGAATAGCAACACCTTAAAAATTTGTTGAGAGGTTAGATCTCATGTTAAATGTCCTTACCACAATTAAAAAAAGACTGATTGATATCAGACTATTATATAGCAAAGTCAAAAACAATGTGTAGAGGAAAAAAATATTTTGCACTCAGATACCTATCTGTAAGTTGAAATAAAGATAGTTGATTTAAAAAAAGAAATATGTATTATGCAAAAAGATGAAATTAAGAAATGATTTGTGATTCTTTAATCAAGTTTTTCTGTATCAAAGCAAAGCAAAGGTACTAATATTTAAAGTAGACTAATAGTCATTCTTAACATTAATTATTTCAAAAAACAGAGAAAGTTCAACACCAGTCTGGATTAGCACTTACGTGCTAGGAAATGAGGAAGACACACAAACATTTTATTATTTATTTCCCACAGTAACTCTTATAAGTCTTAGTATATTTATTTCTGATGATGAACTTAATCCAATTAAATTAAATTTAGTAAAGGTCAGTAATTAGCAACATCACTGTGATAATGAAATTCTATCTGATTTCAATGTCCAGGCTATCAAACATCCACAGTCTTTACCCTCTACATCATGTCACCTGCAAGAGCATCCTGGTCATGAAGTAGCTCAACTTGGTTTTAGCCATTACCATGACCTTCTCCTGCTTCATTAATGGCTACATGGATTGAGTATATCAACGTCTATCTTGTGGCACCCAAGATTTTCCCATGATGCTCCCAGCTCCTTCTGCAGGTCAGCATCCCGTGGGTTCTCCTTCCTACCCCACACCAAGGGAATTTGGCTGCTACCTTTTCTTTGGGTGTGTACTGCAGAGAGGGCACCTGCGTTGGAGAAACCCAGGCCTAGTTTTAATCCTACCTCCTCCACTCATCAGCCGGGGACATTCGGGAATATCTCATAACTTTACATATTCTTTTAACTGCCTGATAGGAATGCCTTCTTCATATGATATGTTTGAAGAATAACTGACATAACAATCCCCTACATATATGTATTTATACACATAATTATATAGATATGTGTGTGTGTTTATGCATATGCATGCTTAAGCATGACTGTGTATTGATATACCATTTCCAGACCAAGTTATTTCTTTTTCATTCCACTGGGACAAATTATCACCCATCTATATCTTGATGTAGACTCTAGGCAGTAGCCCATCCTAGTTTATAAGACACAGTCCTCTAAGAAAGTTTGTACCTTTATTATCCTGGGTAAGTCTATTCCTCATCCTGAATTTGAAACTGAGTAAAAAAGCAAAGCAAAGCAAAGTGGGTAAGACTTTATATATGGTGTATACTCAATCTTTTTACCACAAGGAAAAGGCCTGAATACTGAAAGCCTGTCCCTTATAAGAATAGCTGTGCCTAGAGGTGGCTTCCTCTGCTGGAAAGATTTTGGAAACTCATACTTTTGCAGTTTTCTGACCCATTCCCAATAAAAGGCCTTAAGCTTTAGTATAAAAAGTTCTATAGAATAAGACTGGAACAGGAGTGGCCTTAACAGTGGCATTTGGGAACTTGAAAAATGAGACCAGTAGAATCAATTATTTTTCCTCTGAAGGACACAGGACCTTGTACAGCTATTGCACAGGACATTGACACAGCTTATACTTTTCAGTAATCATGAGAGAAAATATTTATTATATTGTATAGAACACTTAAGTCGTTGTTTTATGTTCAGTAACACTTAGTTCTACACAACAATCTAACAAGTACAGTTTTAAATCTTAATTTGTATTTTAGAAAAAGAAACCCAGAATTTATTTATCATTACATATCTTATAAAAGAAGAGACAGGATTTGAAGATAAACACTCTGTATATAAAATCTTCACTCTGGGTATATGCATGGCTTATGTTTTCCTTTCCTTGATCCTCTGATGAACCTGGTGTATTCTGAGCAACAAAGAAACATACACGCGAAGACACCTTACTTGTGGGTGGTGGGTGGAGGGTGATTACGGACTGTCCCAGATAACATGCATGGTGGCAGACAGGCTTTGCTATGTCTCTTCAGATCAAAGATAAAGGAAAATATGGAGATATGGGAGAGCAACCATGTTATATCAAGACTGCACTGCCTTTAGGAGGGATTAGACATCTTTCTTTGAGAATACAAAAAAAGGTAAATGGCAAATAAGCATTTCTCCTAACTTAAACCAAATACAGCGTGCATCCCAAAGATCAGTAAAATTTTTAAAGTGAAAAAGGAGACAACAAGGAAGAGATGATGTGAATGGTGCAGATGAGCTCAGGGATAGAGATGAAACCCAGAACAAGGGGCACTACAAGAAGTGGGTGAGGGAAACAGAACGTTCACGAGCTCGGTGGGCACAGTGTCATGGGAGCTGGACAGTTCCAAGGATTGAAATACGGATAAGCAGTCCGGGAAAAGCGACATTTAGAGAACTTGTAGATGAGTGACCCATGGTTTGTGACATTGAAAAATGAGACAGTGCCTCCTTCACAGTCTAGGAAAACCCCAACATGATGGGGAGGAACAGTCACAGAAAGAGTTAAGACATGGGGATCAGAGGTGGAAGAGTCCTCAAAGGCATTGTACTCTGATTCTTTCTGTAACCCTATAACCCAGTAGCCATACTGAGGTCTGTATCTGGAGTAAACATTTGGATGATTTGTGCCTCGCCTAACATCATACTTTATATTATGGGAACGTGTTCTACAGTATACCCCCAGGATCCAGGCATTTTTCTTGGACACATCTATTTCCCAGTAATGTTTCCCTGAAGAGAAATATCGGGAGCCCAAGATACCATAATTATAATACTCAACAGGCCAAATTGGCACAGATGTCACTTGCCTCTGATCTTCTGAAAGTATAAGATTCAAATTTAGGTTGACTGGATTCAGTGTGATATCCACTGCAGAAAAAAAATTATAAAATCAGATGACAAATATGCAGTAGGTGTATCTGGTGACATTGTGAGGAGGAAATTTGGGAAGTGATTACGAAAAACATGTATTGATGGATTGAAGAAGAGGGTAAAACATTGGAGAAATGTATTATACATATATATTTTTATATATACATATGTGTGTATATACACACATATATGTATGTATGTACACATATGTATATACATATATGCATGTAATGTATATATAATATATATATGTACACACACACAAATATATATGGAGGTAATGAGATGAGAACACATGGGACTAATATTATGGGATCTGAGACCACAAACTTCTGAAAAGGAATCAGAACACAGTGATTCGAAGACCCAATAACTTCTTCTTACCCCAGTAGCACTGGACATGTGTTAGCTCTGAAATGATAAAACATTCAATGATGTTGATTAGATGCAAGTGATTAAGCACTGATACCTATCTCTTCTCCAGAGTAAAGGCAGGGGAGGGGAGTACTGTGAGGCTACGAACTGATGAATGAGAGGATAAACCAGATACATAGCCATACTTTCTTAGATACAAGCCTATCTTCTTCAATAATATCCCTTCTTCTCTGAATACCATCCTCCTTTCTATCCTCTCTTTGAAACTATACCAGCTCTCCAATTTATTCCCTAAAACCACAAGAATCCTCACCCATGATCCTGCCCTTGCTCTCCTCACCTCTAAACATGTGCAGCATTCCACTCAGATCTGGAGCGCGGAATACACTCTTCAGTGTCTTGGAAATCGTTTTTGGCTTCTTCAGCTTCCAGATCTCACTCCTAGGAATGACAAAAAATGTTAACCCTGCATCTCTTACCTTCTGTCCCTCCAATACCACTGCCTTTCTCTCCTTCCATGCCATTGATGCACTTGAACTCTCTTCCCTGAGAAGCCTGAGGAGGGGAGAAGGGAGAGTGCTGACACTGGAGCCAGAAGAAATGTGCTCAGTCTACCTTCCTCTGTGTGACCTTGGGAAGGTCTTCACCTCAAAGAAACAGTTTCCTCTTCTAAAAATGGAGTAATTAATCCTTCCCTTGATATCTCAAAGAAATAATACAAAATTAGATGAAAGAATGCATAAGAAAAGACTTTGCTGCCTCTAAAAAAGGTATGTAATATTTGGAAAAGCCATCATAGTGGATCTCCCGGGGAGGGGCCACAGTCATGTGTTCCCAGGCAGATCAATAGTGAGGCTACAGATCCTGCCTATGATGTGGGTCTCTTTTTGGAGAGCCTGTGATCTTGTGTCCTAGTCAAATCCTGAACTCCAGTGGTGTGGCCTACAAACAACATTTGAGATCCCCAATGTTCTGGAAAAGAGTTAAAATCACTTGGCAAAGGAGGAGATATGACGACCCAACTAAAAATGTTTAGATTTTCATGTGTTTGTGAGGAACTTGATGCTGCCAGATGGTTTGGCAACTTTAGACACACGGCTTACGCTTTCCCATATAAGCTTATAAGGTGTGTGAACAAGAAGAGATTAATTATTGGCACTAGAGTCAAAGCTACTAACCCTGAGGTTCAGAGAACCTTGTAGAATGACCTTGTCTCTTCCATTTCCATGTAAGCAAAGAAAATATAAAATAGTTGCCACCATAGCCTATTTAGGGCTTGATGAAGCCCTCCATGTAATAAGATAAGTACTTATGAAATACAGGAACCCAGAGCAAGGACAATTGGTGAGTAAAATGAGTGAAGTCACAGGAGTCTGAAAATGAAATTCCTGATCCCTATTATCCACACTGGGCCCATAACTCTGAGAGCTCCAACCACCAAATTCACTACCATAGAATCTGGTCCAATCTCAAAAGACACGGAACACTTAAATCCTCCTCTATGACTAGCAATTTAAAATAACACTACATCCAAATTTCCCTGCTTTGGGAGATTCTTCATTCTGGTTGACTACCAGATAACTCTCATGGCTACAAACCTTTCTTGACAGCACAAAAGCACCACTCTTGGTAACCCATACGCACCATTTCATGATTCCACTCACGTCCTAGGAAGAAGAGAGAAAACATGAGCAAAGGAGTATAAGGATTAGAGGAGGCTTGATGAAAGAAAGAATAGAAAAACAATGGAGAAAATCAGAGAAATCAAAAGTGAACAATTTGAAAATATCAACGAAACTGACAAAACTTTAGTTAGACATACCAGGGAAAAAAGAGAGAGGAGGCACATTACTAAAATCAGGAATGACAGAGAAGACGTTATCACTGACTTTCACAAAGATTAAAACATTACAAAGTCTATGAACAATTGTATGCCAACAAAGCAGATAATCTAGATAAAATGGACAAATTCTTAGAAACACAGGAACTACCAATACTGATTGAAGAAGAACTAGAGGGCCCAGCCTGGTGGCGCAGTGGTTAAGTGTGCTCGTTCTGCTTCAGTGGTCTGGGATTCGTCAGTTCGGATCCCAGGGTGTGGACATTGCACCGCTTGGCAAGCCATGCTGTAGTAGGTGTCCAACATATAAAGTGGAGGAAGATGGGCACGGATGTTAGCTCAGGGCCAGTCTTCCTCAGCAAAAAGAGGAGGATTGACAGCAGATGTTAGCTCAGGGATGATCTTCCTCAAAAAAAAAAAAAAAAATCTAAAAAAACAAAAAGAAGAACTAGAAAATCTGAATAGACCTAAAGCATATAGTGATTGGACTGGAAATCAAAAACTCCCTGCAGAGAAAAGTCCAGGCCCAGATGGTTTCACTGGTGAATTCTTCAAAAGGTTCAAAGAAGAAATAACACAAATAGTTCACAAATTCTTCCAAAAAACAGAAAAGGAGGGAACACGTCCCAATTTGTTCTATGAGGCCAGTACTATTCTGGTTCTAAAACCAGACGGAGACACCACATTTAAGTAAACTACAGACCGCGGTCCCTCATGAATACAAACACAAATTTCATCAACAAAACACTAGAAAATTGAAGCCAACAAAGTATAAAAGATTATACACCATGGTCAAGTGGAATTTATCACAGAAATGCAAGGTTGGATTAACATAAGAAAAACAGTCAATATACTATATCATATTAATAGAATAAAAGATAAAAATCACATGATGATTCCAATAGAGACAGAAAAAAAATCATTTGACAAAATTCAACATCCCTTCATGATAAAAACAAAAAAGGAAAAATAACAACAAACTTGGAACAGAGAGAAGCTTCCTCGGCCTGATAAAAGGCATCTATGGAAAACCTCTAGCTAACATCATACTTAATGGTGAAAAAACTGAAGGCTTTTTCCATAGGATCCCTAAGATCAGGAACAAGACAAGAATGTCTGTTCTCACTACTTCTATTCAAAATAGAATTAGAGGTTCTTGTCAGGGCAGTTAGGTAAGGAAAATAAATACAAGCATCTCTATTGGAAAGAAAAACTATCTCTATTTGCCGAATATATGATCTTATATAGAGAAAAGATCTGCTCTATACACTGTCTATAGGTGACCGCTTCCATTTTTTAAATTTTACCTCACATGCAGACAGTGCTGATTCCAGACTTCACATAATCTAATTATTGTCTATTGTCTGCATTTATGCATCCAGGATGATACATTACACAAAGAAGAGGAAACAGGTACCAGCAACCCAGAATATGTAAATACAAACTACTATTTACCAACCACATTGTTCCCTCCCCTATGCCCACTTGCCATGAATGGTACTGATATTCACTCAGTCCCTGTTCCAAACACTTAAACCTCTTACCAAGCTAGTCCATTCTACATCTTTAACTTCCTTTGGCCTAGTGCATTTTCACATCATCACCACCATGGATTTACTTGTGTTGAAAAATACTTACCAATATATTTGGCCTTACTCTTAAATGTCACCAACTAGGTTTACAACCAAAGGAATATTTTTGCTCTCCATATTATTATAGTTTGGTTGTACATGACAAAGAAGCCAATGAAAATTGCCTTACCTAAAAAAGAGGATTGTGGCCAGAGAAATATTACTTTAGTCAAAAATGGACTGGAAGCTCAAATCCTGTCACCCATCTGGCCTTTCCGTGTTTCTATTCTCTTTTCTTCCTTATCTGTTGACTTTATTCTCAGAGCTTAATTGATAGAAACTTGAATCTCCTGGCAAATAAGGCAAATAAGGGCTCTACAGGGCCAAAGGAACCTCTTAGTCTCAACACCAGGATTAAAGCTCGAGGATACAGAAGAGAAAATAACTTAGATTGTGTTTCAAGAACCTCAGATTGAGCGGTTCTTACCTGCAGCAGCTGCGTAGTTGACCATTCACTGCGACGCTCCAGATCTGAGATGAGCTCTTTCACCAACTGGTTCTGCTGAACCAGCTCATCCTCAGCCTCGGCCAAGGTATCCAGTGTCTTCTTCTCCTCTTCCTCCAGTTTGTTCAGTTCTCTCTGCTCCTCACTGTCCAGGATGCTTCTAAGCTGATTAAATTCTGTTTGTATCCTTTGTTTCTCAGTCTGTATATGATACTGTGAGATTGGACAAGAGAAAGTCTATCAGCTTGAGAACCTACTGTGCAAGAGATTAGGAGCCAGGAACCGAAATATTTTTTCAAAGAGTTTTAACCGTGAGGGGAGTAGAGGCAGGGGGACAATTTTTGAAACAGCTGCTTTTCTCCTACTATTTGCCTTTCAGTATATTCCAAAACAGGCCTCACACTGTCTTATTTATGCCAACTCTGGGACAAAATATAAAACCTGAGTGAGATTTACATTGTAGACAGATGTCCTGAACATTCATGCCTCCATGCATTACTACAATCCGAAGTTTGAACCTGGAGGAAAATCTTGGTCTTTTGCCTGGTGTCTTCACTGGAAGTACCAGAGCCTCACTGGAAAGAAGAAGAAAAGACAGAATTCTCCAGCTTTCCTCATCATAGAGTCTGTCTTTATGCTCAATTCCAAATATCTGTGTGTACTTGTAACAAAACCACTCTTCAGCCTTCACCCCCAACAGAGACAGGAGAGAGAAATCAAAGGGCTTCATTCAAGAGGACAAAGAACCAGGGGCTCCCTTGTGATTTGGACTGAAGGTCCTGCCAAGATTCCTGTCTCAGAAATCCCTCAGGAAGAGTCTCTTCCTACCTTCCAGGAAGTTCTCTTTTCTCTAACATCAGCTTCCAACTTCTCAGCTTCCTGCTGCTCCTTCCTCAGCCTCTCCAGAGCTGCCTGGAGCTTCTCCTATGAGAGAGAAATCACATCAGAGTCAAGCTATGGGCTTTCTCAGTACCTGGATAGACCATAAATGGGGAAGAAATCAGGCTGATCTCAGAAGAAACTAGTTTATAGAAATTGTGATTAGAATCTGATGGTTAGAATCTGTGACATGAGAGAAAATCTCAGGAGGTGAATGTGTTCTTTATTCCTGGGTGAAGTCATCATCCCCTCATCAAGATTAGCCTTATTCTCTATTTTCTTAGAGTAAGTATCAACTCTGCTGTAGCAAGGGAAGTGTTATCCTCTTACTGACATTCTTTCCACACCCAACCCACAATGTTGAACATCAACTATCCTGCTGAGAGCAGCAGTGGAAGCTAACCTTGCGAGAGGAATTCCCCATTCATACAACAAAAGAGAAAAAAGGAAAACCTCTCACCCTTGGCCAAGAGTCTAGGCTGTAAACTCTAGACTCATCTTTTGTGTAAATGAAAGGAATACCTAGAAGTGTCCTTCAGGCATTAGAAGCTGAGCCTAGGGTATGAGACATACATGGAGGGAGATTACAGGGCTCAGTACTATGGTGCCAAGGTGAGTAAAAAAGGATGAAAAGGTGAGATTTCCCACCAAGTATCATCTTCTGCTCTTTCTCCCTCCATCCTGGGCCCTACCTGACATTCCTTGACTGCCTCCTCCATGAGGGATGTGTGGTGACCTCGGTGTTCCTGAGACCGTTCACAAAGCCAACAAATGACCTTTCTATCCTCCTTACAGAAGAGCAGGAGTTTCTCTTCATGGTGCACACAGAGATTTCTCTTCTGCTCTTCCTCTGGGCTCAACTTGACCTCTCTGAGTCTCTCTACTATCTTGGCCAGATGCTGATTTGGCCATAGGTTTCCAAGTGAGTATCTGATACCACACACAGGACAGCCGTTTTCCCCTCGTGGGCTGATTTCTGCTTCCTTGTTGTTGGCAGTGATACAGGTTTGGCAGAAGCTGTGGCCACAGCCTAGACTCAAGGATTCTGTCAAAAGCTCCAGGCAGACAGAGCAGGTCTCCTCTTCCTGTTTGTTCGTCAGGATTTTTAAAGCCATAGTAAGGCTCTCCAGGCTTCTTCTTGTCCTAATTCCTGAGGTTCTCCTTGCTTAAAGATTCCTGGATAGCTAGGTGGATTGAAAAGAGATCGTGTAAGAATGGCATGAATAAAAGGGCTCAAATTGCACAGACATTAAGGACTGGCCAACACTGAAATGCTGAAGGACAAAAAAGAAGAAGAAGGAAACAAACCAGAAATGGAATTCAGTGGCCCGAGTAAGCCAGTAATGCCTCAGGCTTTTGCATTTTCTCTTCTTTCAGCCTGGAATGGTCCTTCCCTTGATAATTGCATGACTTCATTTTACACTTCGTTCAGCTCTCTCCTTATATGTCCTCTCACCAGAAGGGCCTAATACAACTAATTTACCTACAGCACAACCACCAATACATCATTCAACGTACATTTGCCATCTTTTTCTTATTATCACTATATAATAAATAATGTCTGTCTTTAATTATTCTACTCCTAAAATGTAACCCACACGTAGATCAGACACTTCATTTTGATTCACTGATGTGTCCCTAGTGCCCAGAACCCACAGGAACACAACGTTTGATGAATATATAAAGAATGTCTTCATTTCTCCATAGATGATTAGATTTTTTATTTAAATCAGCATTTCATCTTTTTTTCCCCCATTAACTAGCTGTTCTCTAATAGTGAACTTTGGGACCAAAGATATGGTTTCCAGGGAAGTATTTACCTCCTAATGTCCCATACAGGGTCTCCAATGCCCTCATGTTCACTCTCCAGGTACATCCACAGAAACAGCAAGGACCACAACAACGGAGTAATCTTATCACTAATAATTGTATAATCAGTTACAATTTATAAATCACTTTGACCTGTTTATTCCTCACACAAAAATCCTTGAGAAATAACAATTCCCTCAGATGTGTAAACAGAATCAAGTGACTTACAAAGAGTATTCAATCCAATAAACTGAATTGGGGTGAATAAAATGTCCTTAGGGTTCTCTTTCAGAGGTCTGGCAGTTGTGATCAACACTATCACACAGAGGTACATGTATTTGGGAAATCAAATAATTTCCCAAATAGGAGAATATGAAAAATATTCCCCTTGAATAAGCAACGATTGACTGAAAGGAGAATGATGAGAAGGGGACATAGAATGAGAAAGAGAAAAATATTTCAGGGAGAAGGAATCACATATATGAATGCCCTGTTAATGGAGAACACAGCATCTTCTACAAGCTTTAAAATGCCAGTATCGCTGGTGTGCAGAGAACTGCTAGGCCTCTGGCATTACATGAGCCTGCAGGGATCAAAGATGTGACCCTTCCTAAATGATCTAAAAGTGACAGTCAGTGTCTTTCCAAAGAGCTGGGTTCAGTGATGGGAGGTTGCAGAACCAGTTGATGGAAGAAATGGAGAGAAGCAGATGAGAGTGAGAAATAAGGTGAGATAAAAGGGACAGAATTAAAAATTCGATTGGACATGTCAGACAAAGGGTTATCATCTGGCTAAAGTTCTCTCTCCCTATAAGAAGGGTATTGGTACTACTTTCTCCTAGTACTTTTTTTAATTTTATTTTTATTGTTTTTGCAAAAGCAGACCTCAGCTTCCTTCCATAAGGGGGTTGTGACTCTTGTGATGAAATATTTTTCTGTAAAGTCATGGCAGCTATGCTCACGGTTCTTACAAGGTAATCCATCTATTGGAGCAAGACTTACCTAAGCTATGTCAGCTTCCTACATATCCACCTGGTTTTGTTCTCTTACAAATGACTAAGGGGGGTAAAGTACCTCCTATACCACTGTATGTATTCTCACTGAGAGCTCACCTGAGGTAGCCATGTCAACATTCTCTGTCTTCTGACCTGTGAGCCCCTGCTAAACTAAGTGAACCTAGTTGGTTTATGTCCTGTTGTCATATGAGTGGGAATGGCAAACCAAACCTGAAATTATTGCTGGTGGTCAGTCAAAGGGCATGTCACAGAGTAGTAGCATGGTGATGCTGACTCTTAGAACCTAGATTCAATATGGACAAGGAAACATGAAGCAAAATAAAAAAAAGGAAGATCTCAGTAGGTATGAATGCCTTGATACTTGCTCTAATGGACTGAATTGTGTCCTCCACACAGAGATGTTCATCTGTGTGAATGCGACCTTATTTGGAAACAAGGTCTTCGCAGATGTAATCAAGTTAAGATGAGGTCATATTGGAATAGAATGGGCTATAAATCCAATGAACTGTGTCCTTATAAGAAAACGAGAGGGCACAGAGACACTTAGGAAAGAAGGTCATGTGACAATGGTGGCAGAGATTGGAGTAGTGCAGCAACAAGGAAAGGAACGTCAAAGATTGCTGGAAAACACCAGAAACTAAGAGAGAGACATGGAACAGATTCTCCCTTAGAACCTCCAGAAGAAACCAAATCTACCACAGCTTTGATTTTGGATTTCTTGCCTCTTGAACTGTGAAAGAATAGGTTCCTATTGTTTTAAGCTATCCAGTTTGTGGTAATTTGTTACAACAGTCCTAGGAAACTAATATAGTTAAAAAGATTTGATAGTAAAAGAAAAGATCTGAGGTATGTAACGAACTATCAATCTTCCCCTTGCTCTGAAAAGAAAGGGTGAGGGCATGGTGAAAGCTGTATGGAGATACATTTAGACCTAGAAATCCGCCCACGTCTGTAATCATCCATAAATTGAACCTGAGGAAGAATAAGGCTGAATGTGGGCTGGTGGGTGTAATCCAGCCAATGGTAGAGATACTGAAAATGGAGATACTGAGACCAGATGCTCTTAGCCCCTGGCTGTAGTGATAATTGGTTAGGTCAGGCTCTGAAGACTGGCAAGACCAGGGTTTACATAATATGATAATGTCCACCCCTGCTTATAACTGAAGCTATGGGCCAACCATGGGTATGAGATTCTCTGTTATACTTCAGCTTGTTCAGTATCCAACACATGTTGTGATACACCAAGAGCCTACAGAGGAGAGAGGAGTGGAACATGCTTTCTACTGTGGGGCTGTGGACTTCATGTTCACAGTGGGGCTGCAGGAAGTTGATATCAAAGCAGCTTCCACCATAATGGCCACAGAAGGAGGAAGGTACAGAGTAACCAGATTCCCCAGACATGGGGAGTGACCCCACCAATGTCCAAGAGGGACCCTAAAGGCCAGCGGCAGTCTGGGAGGTAGAGAAGGGAACACAAGTAGCATCTGCCTGATAGAACTCCCACGTCATTTGGCTGCCACAGTGTCAGACAATTATATCCTACACTTGAGTCTTCTCCCAACATCTGGACTCACAATATTGCAAACTCTATGCCTCTCTTCAGGTTAGAGAGTAAAATGAAGGTGTCTCCAGGGAGCAAAGTGCAGGGAAGGATGTCCCTTGAAGTTTTCAGACAACATCCTAGACACTTCTCTTGCTTCCTGAGTCAGGAACTGCAATTGGGGAAAATAGGACCTGTTTTTGGCATCCAGAGACCTGAGGAACTCAGAAACATTGCCTCTGCCACTCCCATCCCTCTATGCTCAGAGCTCCTGCTTCAGCCACCCCTAGAGTCCAGGGTTAAATGTACTCCACACTGATGACCCTCTCCTCAAGATTTCTAGCAAAGCTTCTACCAGGTCACTGCAGATCCCCCACCCTAATTCAACTTTTAAAAAATGTTACCTCATAATGTTAGTCACCTTCTTATATACTATATCCATTATTTATTGTTTACGATCTTGCCCCAACTAGAATATAAGCTCCTACATGTATTTAACATTTATTGTATGTTGAATTGATAGTCATTGCATTTTTTCACACCAGCAGCCTGCTTTAGTTTCCATGATTTAAATTTTAAAATTAAGTAAATAAATCTACTTCATCCAATGTGTTGGGCCTTGTTCTTGACCCTGGGACGACAATCAATATCTGGCCAGAAATGGACCCTATCAGGAGTAAGGCACAGACTCACAGGGAGGCAGACACAGTGACTTCTGAAAAATGGGAGTATAGGACAGAGTGGGCATATATCAGAATGTATGCAACATCAATCAATGTGCTAATTGCTTAAAAGTGAGCTTAAGATGAGACATAGTGTCAAGTGATGGAGCAAACTTCTTAGCAAGCCCACTGAATCTTTGGGCTTCTTCTCAGCGATAATTGACTCTTATTAAATAGCTCTGAAAAAAGAAAAAGAGTCAGAAATGGAGGTAACAATCAACACAAAGGCATATCTAAGAGGAAGAATGATGAAGGGAAAGCTCTGAGGCAGGGGAGGACACTAGTACCAAGGGGCTACTGGAGTAAGAGTAAGCAGGTCTATTTAGGGAAGTGCAAGTAGATTCCTGAGACTGGGGCTCAGAAGGACACAGGATAAAAGGCAGCCTCAGGGGCTGGCCCCGTGGCCGAGTGGTTAGGTTCGCGCGCTCCGCTGCAGGCGGCCCAGTGTTTCGTTGGTTCGAATCCTGGGCACGGACATGGCACCGCTCATCTAACCACGCTGAGGCAGTGTCCCACATGCCACAACTAGAAGGAGCTACAACAAAGAATATACAACTATGTGCTGGGGGATTTGGGGGAGAATAAGGAAAAAAATAAAATCTTTGGAAAAAAAAAAAAGGCATCCTCAGAGGCAGGCAACAGTTAGATCATCTGCCCAGCTGTCTTCAGGCAGGCCAACAGCTGAGGATATGTCAGAAAGGCCACAGACAGCTCCTTGGTGGTTGCCGGGAGGGGAGTGACGGAATCAGCTTCAATATTACCTCTGCCATGCCCCCAATACTCCATTGTCTTTGATGCCCCATACTAGAAGCTTGGGCTTTCACATATTTGGAAAACAGAGACCTCTTTCACAAGGTTTTCTTCTGGGGAGGTGGAGGTGGACAGAAGAGAAGAGACTTTCTGTTCATCTCTTTAAAAGAAAGAGAGAGAGAGAGAGGATTTGGTTCAGCCTGGAGAAATAAGGTCCACTCCAGGAAACAAACAAGGCTCTACCTCCTCACACTCCATTCTTTCAAGGCCTACCCTCTCCAGACTTAAGACTGCCATCTGTCTGCACTGACAGCAGGAAACCTGCAAGCTGGCGTTTCTTCCCTTCAGAGCAAGTCTGAGCTACAAAGGAAACGCACCTAACCTCGCCTAGTAATTTCTTCCTGGAGTCTCCCATCCCTGCCTCCCACAGACTTCCCCACACACTGTCAGGCTCCAGCAGAGAAGCCTTGATTCCTGATTTAAGTGGTGAAAAAAACCAGGACAGGTATGGTCAGGATTTACTTACCAAACAGGGGCTCAGTCTGCTTGAAGTAGTTTCTCCCCAGGAGCTGGCTGAGAAGTGAAAGTGAAATTTGGGGGCTGGCAGGAAGAGGAACCCGGAAGGAGCTTCGGGGCCAAATAGGCAGCGGTCCTTGGGGCCACTGGAGAGAGAGCAATGCTTTAACCCAGTGGTTTTCATGGGGAGAAAGGAGGATTTGCCCTGAAGGGATATTTGGCAACGTCAGTGGATGAATTTGGCTGTCTAACTGGGGAGATGTTACTGCCATCTAGTGGCTAGAGGCCAGGGATATGGATAATCATTCTACAATGCAGGACAGCTCCCACAACAAAGAATTATCCAGTCCAAAATGGCATAGTGCTGAGGTTGAGAAACTGTTTTAACCCTTTCTGCTTCCTAGGCCAGCTAGACATGAAGTGTCTCCTACCACTTTCATGATTGTGCACAGGCCCTCAATTCAGCCTCCTGATTTGAATCGTCCCTTCAGATCTGATGTTCCATTTGCTCCCCAAAAGCACTGCATCACCTCCTAGGAGATGGGAGTTGGGTGGGGGAGGGATGGAGACTACTGAGAAGAGTTGGCCACAAAGGACCTGGGGAACTTTTTGGAGTGTTTGAAATTTCCTAAATCTTCATTGTGTGGTAGTTACACAGGTGTAAAACTTTGTCAACATACGAAATTGCACACTCTTTTAGGGTACATATTGGTGCTCATAACATGTATCTGAATAATGTTGATTGTAAAAGAAAATGAAGTTTTCAAACTGATTTTTATGTGAAGCTGAGGCCTCAAGTCATGAATTGGGACCTTTGGGCCCTGGACAGAAAGGGGTGCTTTGAAACTGAGGTAAGTTTGAAACCTAACAGGGAGTAACCTTAAACAGGAGAGTCTCTGTCAGATTTCACCACTGTGGGGGATCAGAATTGGCCACTCCAAAATGTGTCTCTTTAGCTTGATTAGTTTTAAGAACGAAAGACTCTGAAAGAAACTTTGAACTTCCTCCTAACTGCCTAAAAGAATTTAAGATAAAAGGCCTGTCCCCAGGACAGGCTGTCACCATAGATAACTCTGGGTATCAACGCACTGTGAGGGCCATTGCTAAGCCCATTTTTATATACCAAACATTTGCTTTTCCATCCCCATGTGAGTTGCCTTCCTCCCCTTTGAAGTCCCAAACCACTACCCCCAACATCCTCCTTTGTCTTTAGGTGAAGATGATATTTAAGCTGCAGCTCAGCCATTCTGGAGAGTTACTCGGCTTTCTTGGGTTTCTCCCATGTATACATGTTATAAGGCTTTGCTTGATTTTCTCCTGTTATTCTGTCTCATGTCAATTTAATTTGTAGGCCAGCCAGAAGACCTGGAGTGGGTAGAGAATTTGTCTTCCTCCCCTACACTACTCTTCTTGGGCACAGGATGCTCCCAGTACATTTTGTCTCTGTGAAGAGCACCCTCTGTTTTTGTGAAGAAAATAAATTGATGGATTAATTTTTTGTGTCATATTCTTCAAGGAAATCCTGTATCCTGTGCCCTTGTAGAGCATGTTATACAACAAAAAGAGCCACCTTTGAAAATCGCTTTCCAAGGTACAATTCTCCCTTCTGCCCTCCTCCATCATATGACCCATGGTTTGGGACGAAGCACAAGTCCCAAGCAGAAAGACAATTAAAACGTTGTTGAAATTTTAACAACTTTCCTGTAAAAACATCTGTATCCATCACATTTGGACATACGCTTTGGCTACTTCCAAGGAGTCAATTGTTACTTTTCCATTTAGGTTTTCTTCTCCTTAGTTCAATATTGTCAATTTATATCATTAGACAGACTTGTTAAATCATTAGTTTTGGTGTATATTACCATAGCATAGTCCATCAGTTCTGTATGTGTGACATCAAATTTTTCAGCACAAATTTTGTTCACTTGGGTTTTTTCCTCTATTTTTCATTTGCTTCATTTCTCTATGAATTCAATGGGCTTGTAACCATGCTATGACCTTGCCATTGTTTTATTATTTACTTAACAACCTTCTATCAACATATAATATGTTAAAAGCAGAAAAAATAGCCACTTTTGGAAACTCATCTTGGGGTATCAAGAGTTCCTCTGGTGTATCACTCTCAGCTGAGCTGTGCTTCTGGAAGGCAGGAATGGCCTGGATGGAAAGATAAGCACGTTTTGTGTATTTAGGAATCTACAAATAGTTCCATGGGATTGTACTTGGAGCTGTAGGTAAACAGAAGAGAAGCCACAGAAGTGAGCAAAGGTCACATCATTAATACTCGTTTATACAAGCAGAGCGAGAGCTGCGAAATTATCTGGAGGATGGGGACAACCACTACATGGATACCAGTGCAGGAGTAAAGTGTCAGCTTTCCCAGACCCCTCTGGCTTTACTCCAATCATTGTCCCATAGTACCCACCCTCTCACAGAGCAGGGCCCAGCAGGGCTTTCTTTTCTATGAGCCTCTACTTGCAAATATGATTCAGAAGCCTGGGTCTCCACAAGTATCAATATGCAGAAGGCCCTGTGCACGTGGAAGATAATTTTGTACATCTTTTAATTTTTATTTTATTATGAAGCTTTCCTGGTTGGTTTTTGAATATTTAACATTTTTTGTTTTTCACACATCAATGAAAGTAACCTATAACCAATCTATAAATCAAAATTGGGGTGTGTTTATCATGAGCTGGATCTGAGGACCATGTAGCCTGGGAGAGTCCTTTCACAAAGGAATGGAGCGCTCCACATAAGTGGGGGCATACTATACAGAGAAGTTATACACCATCAAAGAGCATGTATCACAATTGATTGGAATGTCCCTTTTACAATAGTCATGAGATTATCTTGCCAGCATGCAATTCACACAGCAATTGATGAACACAGGAGGCAGTAGGTCTGTGGGCTCGAGGTGAGTAGTCACAGGGTGAGTGCAGCAGGCCAGCAATCAATGCTTAATTTGGGGAGAGATACTTATCCTTAAGGAAATGCTGATGTGGGGGAAGTTACATCCTTATCTTTAAGGGTGTTGTTTTTATCTTTGGGACATAGTAAATACTTAAAGCAGATGTACAACACATGCTCAACAGGACAAGTTAGGCTTTTTTGGAAAAACAAGTTCAGACCAAATTAGTCTTATACCAAATGGCTCCCTCATACACTCCAGTATATCCTATTGCTTGTCATTTATTCATCACACAGAATTACTTCATAGAGATTCTAATGCTTATTAGTATAGAAATGTGTAATTTTTTTTTTTTTTTGAGTAGGATTAGCCCTGAGCTAACCTCTGCTGCCAATCCTCCTCTTTTTGCCAAGGAAGACTGGCCCAGTGCTAACATCCGTGCCCATCTTCCTCTGCTTTACATGTGGGACGCCTACCATAGGATGGTTTGCCATGTCCGCACCCGGGATTCGAACTGGCGAACCCCAGGCCACAGAAGTGGAACATGCGCACTTAACTGGGGCCGGCCCCTGTGTAATATTTTTTAATATTTTAATTATCTGTAATGAAGTATTTTTCATTCACAAGTTCATTAGTTGTTTGTGTTACATTTGTCTTGTTTATTTGTGTAAAATGACCACTTCTTCTATGGAAATTTATTTTCTTGTATTTCATACACTGTTGTATTCTTTCAAAAAGCATATCTCCCTGAATGAGGGAAGACAGCAGTTTGGAAGCAGGAAGGGTCTGGAATAGTTCCCCAAACCTGAAATCCTTGGCTGGGCTTCGCAGAAGACCACGTGCTGCTGCAGTTGCCTCCACCTGTGACACCAGCTAGTGGTAGTTGAGAGTTAATGACTCAGAAGGGAAGGGACAGGAGGATACTGCTGACAAGGCCCACTAGCACAGCACAGTGTAGACTCTCAGACCTCAAGCTCAAGGTTGCAGCTCCAGCCCATCAGTCAGTGAAGGAGACCTTTTGAACCTTTTGGGCTCAGTCGTGCCAAGTGGCACATTTACTGAGTGAAGTGTAAAATCTGAGGCCTCTTAGATCACGTGAAGGTCACAGATGCCACCTATAAAGCATCATCTGTTTAGCTTTCCTATAATACATTCAACAACAGAAATGTACTTATATCCCTTACTAAGTATAAATATTTTTAAATTGTATGAGTTTGCCAAAAACTGACCACTTGACATAATAGCACGTTTGCTAGAAAGATAATTAAAATTTATTTATGTACTATGAGGTATTTTTCTTTCCACCACTTAAAGACAGCAGGATCTTTGTTGTTAAGTCTCCAATATTCTCAATAATAACTTAAAACACCTAGGATATCATACCCACCTGAATGGTCTCAGTGGTAAAGCAACCCTGAGGAAGAAAACAATTCCTCTCTGCCTTTCCTAGACAGAGTAGGTGAGAGTCGGCTGAACTAGGTAGGTGCATAGCTTGGGAGATGTACCGTGGAGCAGGAAGAGTTGAGAGTGCTGAGAGTAAAGAATAATAATAGGGGCTACACGGTGAGACAGTGGCTAAGTGTGCGCATTCCGCTTCGGTGGCCCGGGATTCACCGGTTCAGGTCCCCAGTGCGGACGTGGCACCTCTTGGCACGCCATGCTGTTGTAGGCGTCCCACATATATAGTAGAGGAGGATGGGCATGGATGTTAGCTCAGGGCCAGTCTTCCTCAGCAAAAGGAGGAAGATTGGCAGCAGATGTTAGCTCAGGGCTAATCTTCCTCAAAAAAATAATAATAATAATAATAATAATAATAAAATAAAACACATTGGGAGTTGGAGTCAGGACCAAGAGATTACCCAGCACTGTCCTCAGGCAAAACAGAAGACCACTAGACTCTTTTACAAATGATTGCAGATGCTATGTCTATTCCAATGAGATCTTAGGTCCCAGGGTTTAGAAACTTCTGATCACCCTATGGTGATGGCTCTAGACACATCTGCTTGCTCATTGTCCACAGACAGTTCTGCAAATTGAAGGCTCCTTTATGCCTTGAGATTCTCCTGAGCCCACCCAAACTTTCCACTGTGGACGCCACATCCCTAATTATGACCCAGCACAATCCTAAGGACCCAGAATTACAAGATGGCATGATTGTCACATATACTTTTAGAGAATATGGGAAGGAGAAAGCCCTAGAACTGATTCCTGGGTGGAGAAAACCCACACTCGGTACCCACTGGATTTTTCATTTTGAATGCAGATCCCTTATTTGGTCTTTTCCTGAAAACAGAAAAATGTAAAGTAACTCACAGGCTTCAT